TTTTTATGCTAACTGACCAATGTCATCAATGCAAGATGGTTATGTATAAAAGACCTACGGGACTACCCAGGTCTGAGACCTCATGCATGATTATTGCTTCTCCTGACCTCACCATTCCTGAAGCACCATTTGTTCTTCCCTTGCCTGGGTAAAAGGCTAGAATTTATTTCTGCAACAGTAGAGTTCCTTTGACCAGTTCCCACTGTCCTATCCACTCCTATGCTCTGCAGAGGCAGAGTTTGTATGCATTCATTCATAGTTTATTAAAGTTTTCACTTTACATTTCATAATGGAACAGTATTGTTTTACTTATTTTTTATAATGTACATTAATATCATCAAACTGTTACAGGCCGGGTGAGGGACACCTCAGAACCCTCAAACCCACCTACTCTAAATAGGTTCTGCCATCCACCACATCAAGACAAAACATACTCTACCATAATGGAAAGGAATTTTAATACATTTAGGAAAATGTAACAAGGAAAAGAGAAAGAATAGAGTTTCCAAATCAAGCACTAGAAGTTACCCATCCCCTCATGGGTAAATGCTCGGCCAAACAGGGTTGACCCAAAGCAGGGCCACTGAGGAACAAAAGCCTGCCACAAGTCTAAGTACTTTCTGGTGGGGACCTGTAGGAAAGGGGCAGAATGGGCCCAGCATGTCTGGGAGAAAAGAAGCAAAATCAAAACCAAGACAAAAGCTGCTACTATCAACCTCCCCACGGGTCCCTCACCAACATCTGTTTCAACCAGTCCAGGAGCAAGAAGCAAGCGCAGCTCCGTCACATGTCTCTCTCTCCATTTGCCTCCTCCAGGTCTCCTTCTTGCTCTCCATCCTGCTTCCTTCCTTCTCCAGACTCCTCTCAAGCTTCTTCCCCTCCCTGCTCAGCTCCCCTCTTCTTCAGTAAGGCAGGGAACCTGGAACCTCCCCTTTCCCTGGGGACCACCCTGTTACAAAACTGTCTATAATTCTTTATTTTCATTTAGTACATCTTGGAGCTCTATGTTGATGTATATAAATCTAGTTACTGATAGCCTCTGTATTCTATTGAATAAATATAACATATTTTATTTGTTTATTTTCCTTAAAAATAAAATAGACCTCTAATCCACAACCCACAGCAGCCACCCCAGGGAACTAAAGTCCTCATTGCAGTAACCAGCACAAGAGGCCAGATTGCTATCTCTAGAGACAATACAGGAAGTCATACAAAACTCCTTTAACAATTAGCCCCAAATAGGGCTTGTGACTTGGTCAGTAATTAGGTCCAACCAGAGAAAGCCAAATATGCGCCCCTGATCAACCACACTGCATGGACTCACTTCTAGCTAATTCACCAAAAGCGCCCCCAACCCTCAGCTTCCATCAGGAACAATTCAGTCCCCCTTTTCTCCACCATAAACCTCTCTCACTCCGCTGCCTGACTAAAACAAGTGATGGTGGCCGGCTCCCTCTCTATAGCCAGCTCTGAACAAACACCTTTGTTTACATCATCTGATTGGTCTTCATTTAGTTTCACACCGGTAAGCTAGATTTTAATGGGAAGTCTCTCAAGTATCTTAACATTGGCAATAAAAATAGCATTTTCATGTCAGTGGAAGTGACTAGGCTGCAAGATTGCCATGTGGGTTGAGTAAAGTGGGAATTAGCTAACAGTTTTCTTGAAGCACCTTCAACTCAGAAAACCATTTAGGTTTTCTCAAAGCCTCATCCCCACCCCAAACCCTGGAAGCCCCAGGCCCTGTGTGGCAGGCATCATGGAAGATGGCTAAGGCCCCTTTTGGAAGACCACAGACTGATTCTGTGACCCCTGGGGGTCCAAATGTAGCCTTACCCCAAGTCTGCTCCTTCACCCCCATGTTGCTGGCAAGCACCTCCCCTCTCTGGGCTGCAAGGCCCCATCTACAAAGAGAAAGAGTTCCCCTGGCTCCTAGGGCTTGTTGACGAGTTCCTTCCACAGTGAGTCTATTTTATATGCTAATTCTCTACCCAAGTCTTAATCTGAGCTAGAACAGACCCCCAGGCAGGATTCTAAAGGGTAAGGGTAGCAGCTCTGATTCTAGGGCTTAAGGAAACACCAGAAACTGCCTTCCATCTTCACCCCACCATCCTCCCAACAGCCTGGCCTTCTGCCCCTCTGATTATACAGCTGAATTCTCCTTCTTCAGCTCCAGGAGACCTATATGCCTAGTCCTGAGTCCTTCTTCCCAGGCCCTCTCCCCACCACTAGGATGTGCAGGGGGCTCTCACAGTATCTCCTGTTTCTCCCCACCCCCGGTCCCCCCCAATCAGCAGAGGTCTTTCTGAAGACACTTGTCATGCCCACCCACCCTGACCACTGACCATGGCTCTTTGTGGTTTGGGTCCTGTACCTCCCCTAGTCTCCTCTCACTTCAGTGACGTAGAAATTGAACTCCCCAGGAGACCCCATTTTTCTGTGCCTAGAAGAAATTCTCCTGCAGTCCCTGGCTGGTCCATGTTCTGATCTCTCTAATCTCATAGGCTCACCCACTGGTGAAATGCCTGCATCAAAGTCCACCTAGAACTGGAGCTCCTCATCCCACTCATCCCTGTCCCAGGCCAAGCAACTAGGCTTAGACCAATGGACAAGTGAGGACTCTAAACAGGGGAGATGCTTTCGGTCCCCAGCTGCCATACTTTTTCCTACCTCCAGTACTTCCCAGCAACCCCCGCAGCTCATCCTTCACTATGGATATCAAATCAACCCAGTGGACCACCCAGGAGCCCAGGGGGCTAGCAGTGCTGCTGGCACAAGAAAGAAAGAGCAAGTTTCCCTGACATCCCCAAGCCCAGGAGCCTGATCAGGAGGTGCTGAGAGCGCTTTGGGAGGTTTGGGAGAGGAGAGAACTTTCTAGAGAGAGCAAGAGGATAGAGGGAGAGCTGCTGTGTGTAGGAATATGACTTAGTGACGTGGGATATGGAAAGTCCACAGACAGTGAAGACTCAGTGAGGAGAGTTGAGGAGAGCTGAGGACATGAGCCCCACCTAAGGCCCTGACACCTGATGACAGGAATGGAACACTCTACTCAGGAGTCATTATCCCCATGACATGGACAGAACTCTAACCCAGGGTTTGTGACATCTAGTGAGGTAGACTGAGCTCTTTATCCCCATCCAGGGGCCATGATGGTCACCACAGAGAGAGGCAAGTATGTGAAATGGTGTCCCACCACCACCACCACCTGGTATCAGCTTGGAGAGTTAGGCGGAAACACCAGCCTGGCTGGCCCCATAGAACCAGTGGGAACTCTATGCACATAGCCCACTGTGTGCTTGAGGCTCCAAGCTTGTCACAACCGGGCCTCAGTGTCTATATTCAGTCTGTCATAGGGAAGCTGCTTGGAGTTTAAAGGCGTGTAATCTTAGAGAAGATGAGCTGAAGCCAGAGCAGCAGTGTTAACAAACACCCCCAGGGCCTAAGAACCCCATGTCCCTGACTTGGGACTGGCAGGCCCTGGGGAACATAATCATTCTTGGAAACTTCGGGTTTCTCCATTTAGCCCAAGGGGCTGTGAGGGCAGCCATGCACCTGCCTGAACACCTCATCCCACCACACTTCTCACTCCTCCCAACCCACCAGCCCCCAAGGTGTGTCCCTTCCTGGACACAGTCTCCTCAGCCCCAGGCAGTTGGAGCAGGCCTCCACCAAGCCAGAGGGAAGCTCGAAGTCTCAGTTGCACAGCTGCCAAATATAAAAGTTTCCCTTAGAAGCTGAGCACTAGTGAAAATGGTGGTGGCCTGCCACTGAAGTGGTGTGTTCCACAACCACCAACCAGACGCCTCAATGGCACAGGGACTGCTCAAAGTATTATGTAACTGCACCACGCCAATAGCACCAGCCCAGTGACAATTCTAGGGGGCCAAGAGGGGGCTCTCTCTCTCTCCCCCATCTATGGGGGTGGGGTGATAAACACACAGTTGATATTCCTTACATAAGGAAAAAGCAGATAAAGGTAAACCAACACTTAACAAGATATTCCTGGCATATGGATCTGAGTGTGAGTTGTATTTTCTTTATGCTTTTCTCAACTATCCAACTTTTTTACAATTTCAATGTATATCTTTCTAATTAGAAAATTTAAAAATTATCTTCTAAAAACTCTCAACTAAAATCTGAAGAAGGGCCTCCCTGGTGGCACAAGGGGTTAAGACGCAGCACTACGAAGCTATCCGCAGCCTCTGCAGCACGAGTTCAATCCCTGGCCAGGGAAGTACTCACATGGTGCAGTAGACCTCTCCTGTCTCACCAGCTGCTTCACTCAGCAGTGTATTTCAGTACATCTGCTTGTTCTGCTCCCCGCTCTGTCTCTGGTGAGTCCTCTCACCCCCCACATCTCTGGCCTGCACCCCAGCGCTTGTATGCATAAATAAATAAATCTTTAAAATAAAATCTGGGGCCTCCCCGGTGGTGCAGCGGTTGAGCACTGGGTTGCGAAGCCTCCCGCAGCCTCTGCAGCGCTGGTTCGATCCCCAGCCGCCGGGCGAGTGTCCCACGTGGCGCGCAGACCTCTCCTGCCGCCCGCTGCTCCCCTCAGCAGTGTACTTTGTCACCCTGCCTGTTCTACTCTCCGCTCTTGCTCTGGTGAATTCTCTCACCCTCCCTCACCTCTGACTGTACCCAATGCTTGTGTAAATAAATAAATCTTTAAAAAAAAAAAAAAGGGTAAAATAAAATCTGAAGAAAACTTTCTAGACCTAGAGGTACCCACAGTATTGATCAACTCGAGCTATCCTCACACCTACTTATACAGAACTGAGGGTAGAGAATAGAAAATAACCTGCCTGGGGTCACTTGAGGTCATAACCTGATGCCCAGGGCAGACTCCTTCCAAAATGGGCTTATGCAGGGCCTTCAACCCTCAGCCTTCAAACCTTAGGCAAGGCTTCAGTGTTAGCCAGTGCATTTGCATTGGTCAAAAAATACCCTTTGTGATGTGATCTGATAAGGCCCTTACTGCCGCAAAAGTCCAACCTAGACCAAGAAGGTACTAGAATAACAGCAACAGGAATCACAACCAATGAGCTATGCACCAGGCTCCAACACTTCTGCAACAACTGGTCTTATAAGTATCATCACAGACAGGTAAGCTGAAAGCTCAAGGTCACACAACTGGCAGAGCAAAGGCTGGACCTTCAGAGGTGTGGACTCAGAGCATCCCTCTCAGCCACTTCATAGGAAGTGCATTCATGCCACACCTGATGATGGACCTCACAAGTGGTGTGGGTGTGGCTGATGGGGTTAGTTTCAGATGGGGAGGGACAGAATCATGCCAACCAGAAAAATCAGCTGGCCAGAGGGTAGGCATCTCATTAGAAAGGGGTGCCTGGTGCCCTCCCACCATCCACGGAACCCCTGCAAAATAAAAGGTGGGATCAGCAAGATCCTAATTTCTGATCCCTATTGAACCACAAGATGGATGAGAGTGGAACCTGGGGCTTGGGTTCTGGAGGAGCAGATAATAAACAGGAAAGCCATTGAATAAGCAGCATCATTTCTCTACAAACATGTGTCAAGACGGCTTTCAGAGGCGCAGGGCTGTGAGAGCCTTCAAATGCAGCAGCTCTGGAGAGGCGAGAGCAACAGTAGGGGGCTTCAGAGGACTGATTAGAGGAGGGATGCCAAAGGGAAGAGGCAGAGTTGCACTGTGTGACTGTAGGTCTCCAGCTCTGGGTTCTGGGACGACCATCCCCTGAGAAAGGACATATGGTGCCCAGGAACTCTGAGAAGCTAGGCAGCCAGCCAGCACCTGTCCTGGGAGGCAAAAGCTAGGGCAGCAGGACAGAGGGACAAGTGCGACACATCCGCCCTACGGGGCAGAGCAGTAGGAGGGGCCACAGAGCCAAGGCAGGGGGCTGGGACCATGGAGGAATGGAAGCAGGATAGAGGCCAGCATGAGGGGTACATTTCTCCAAGTGGCCAGACATGTGGAGAAGGAGACACCAACGCAGCCACAGGTAGAGGGAGGAGGACCCAGAGACCTTCAAATGTGCAGACTTCTCCTTTCACCCAAAATGGAGATGGTGCCAGGGGCTTCCCTGGTGACCTAGGGATTAATTCTCAGTGCTCTCACTGTTCCACCTGAGTTCAGTCCTGGGCAGCTGACACACATGGCACAGCAGACCTCTCCTGTCTCACCCGCTGCTCCCCTCAGCAGTGTACTTTGTCAATCTGCCAGTTCTGTTCCCCACGCTGTCTCTGGTGAATCCTCTCACCGCCCGCCTCCCCACACCTCTGGGCTACACCCCAGTTTGTCTACACATAAATAAATAAATAAATAAATAAATAAATAAATAAATAAATAAATAAATCTTTAAAAAAAAGATACTCAAGTATTCAAGTATTCAAGCGAATTCTTGCTAAGATAGTGGAGCCTCTGTGAGAAAGAGAATGCGTATAACATGTGTGTCCACAACGTCTCAGCATCCCCCACCCCCAACCCCATCCACGAGCACATGGCATTCTTGCTTTCCTAAGAGGCCCTGGCTCCCGGAGAGATCTCAGACACAAAGAGAAAACAGCAACCTTCTAAGAAACACAAGGGCCCACAGAACCCTGCCTGGCCCTTTGTCACCAGGCTTCTTCCCTGTAGCAGCCAGTCATTTACCCAGAAAATGACAACATGGACAAAACAGGGAGATGGTACTCACAGCTCTTTCTTTCAGCTTCTTGACCCAGGGGCTAGCCGGAAGGGGATGTGGGTGTGGGTAGGATGTGTAAGTGTCAAGAAGTGAAGTAACAAATACAGCAGTATGACTCACAACAGCCAAAGGGTAGAAATATCCCAGATTTCCATCGACAGATGAATGGAAACAAAGTGTGCTGCAGCCACACCATGGAATATTATTCCACCTAAGAAAGAAACAAACACTGACACATGCTACACCATGGATGAATCTGGAAGACATTATGCTCATCAAAAGAATCCAGTCACAAAAAGCTATATGATCCCATCAGTGTGAAATGTCCAAAACAGGCAAATCCATGGAAAGTAGATTGGTGATTGGGGGAGGGAGTTTAAGGAGTAAATTAGAGTGGGGACAGGGTTTCTTTGGGGGATTATAAAATGTTCTAGAATGAAAGTTATTTATGTACTTCTACCAACAACCACTGTATTGCACATTGTAAAGGGACACGTGTTATGGCATGTCAATTATATCTCAGTAAAAAAAAAATAGCAATAAAGAGAAATGCAACATTCCATCATCGTGAATACAAAAGTACACATAGAAATGAGCGGCCATGATAGCAAACCAGGCCTCCAGGCATGTCAGCAAGATCAGGCCCATCACAGGTCACAGTAGTTTTGCCCCTGAGTCAGAGGTAGGAGAGTTCAGTCTGGCAAAAGCAGCCAGTCAGTGCATCATGTCAGGAAAAACAAAATTGCTTACAAGGAAATTGGTTCCTCAAAACAAGAGGTGAATCTAAGAAGAAAAGTAAAAAAAAAATGAAGGGAAAGCAACTGAGTTCGTTTTTATTCTAACTGGCATTGCATAATATGAAATGAATGGTGATGCCCACACTAAAAATATAAGTATAATTTTTGTCTACTTAGATTGGCACCTTTTAGAAACCCTATTAGATGTCTAGAGAGATCACAGAAGAGAAGGAAATCTTTGTATTTGTTATCTTTACCAGCACTTTTTTCCCACTGGTTGAAAAAAGTGCTTCAAAAAGCATGCAGCTGGTCCTGGGGACATTCTACCAGACGCAGGGAGAGAAGCAGCTCTGAAGAGCAATGGGGAAGGGGACTAGGCCAGGCCAGGCTTGTGACCTTGGCAGGCAAGTTAGTTAGGGTCAGGTCCTGCTGAGTTTGGAGGCCAAGCATCTCAGAATGTGCTCAGGCCTGGGAGTCCGGAATTCTTGGCATGGTAGTCCCAACCCAGCTTCTGAGCAAGGAAGACACAGTCCTCCTGCAGTGGTATGGGGCAGAAAAAGAACAGGAGAAAGGCTGCCAGGGTCTGCCAATGAATGACCCTCACCTTTCATCTATATACTACCTCCTTGCCAGGCTATAAGACCTGAAATAGTTAAGGGAAAGCATTTTGTGAATTGTTAATGTGGAGAGGCACCGAGAGGTGTCAGGTCACCATTGGCCTGGTCTCCAGACTCCCTTACCCAAGAGCCTTCACTCGCCACCCTGGAAGTGCCTGGAATGAGTTCTCAGAACTCTGCCAAGGGCACTAGGGAGGGAAGAGTCAAGGTTACCTGAACCACCTGCAATGGTGGAAGAGTATTCAGAACTGGAGCATTTATAATCTGTACAGCACAAGCCAAGGGCCCCAGCAAGTCACTGGAGAGGCAGGGGCCTCTGTGACCAAGGCCAGGAGGCCACAGGCCAGGCAGAGCAGTGCCACCTGGACTGTAGGGGGCACTAGCCAATTGCAAGCACATAGTCACCCCAGGCATTCCTTGCCTGCCAGGGCCTTGAAAGCAGAAAGATCAAGGAAATTGCCCCACCAATGGAGGGTCACATGGCCCAGGCCCTACATACACCCCCATTTGGCACAGGAGCTGCCCTTCTGAGAAGAAGCCTTCCTAGTGTCCCCCCTACAGAGAAATAGCTCTGACACAGAAGCTGCCACCTCCCTTTCTCGACACTCTACTTTCTCTGCACAAAGCACATCCTGTAAACACAAGCAAGTTCCTTCTTGTAGAAAGTTTAGCAAAAGACAAAAAGCATTCTGCAAAAGAAACTAAATACCCTCCAAAATCATCCCCTGGCAAGAGGCACCTCCTCCTTCTTCATTTACTGTGGGCCCCGCATACAAATGGGACACACAATTTCCCTATCCTGGAAGGCCCCTCCAAGATGGTGGGAAGCGCTGCCATGTTGTCTGTGACAGAGCTCATTTCTCCTTTCTTCCACCCTTAATTTTCTTAAGTCTTATAATAAACAAGTATTAGTTTCAAATTAGGGGGAATTGTCTACTTTAAGGAACTTAGTAAAATTTAAAAATATGATCTGAGCGCAGCAGCTGCCCAGTCTGTAGCCTGGCCAGAACGGAAGTGCCTTGGCCCAGTTGGGGCAATGCCAGCCCACACACCACCCCACAGTGTTCCTCCTCCTATCACCTCCTTTAAAAGCACCCTACAGCCACATGCCACCATCTGCCACCTACCTGCCACTCGCCACCATGCGCTGTCTTGCCAGTCTGCTCCTGGCCCTGCTGGCCCTGGAAGCTGCCCTTGCCCTACAAGGTAGGTTTGTTCTACTCTCCTCCCCTTGGGGGGGCCATCCAGACATCCCTCTTCTCTGGGTACACCTCTGGAACACTGGCCGTCCCACTAGTTTTGTGACAAAGACAGGAGGAGCAGCACAAAGGAGGTTCAACTGGAGGCCATCGACAGTAAAACAAGAGAGCATTACCAGAGACCTCCCTAAAGCAGGGGCCAGGAATGGCAGGGCCAAGGCAGCTGCACTGGAATGAGCAGTGACTGGGAAGCTAGCCGAGAAGAGCAGAAGGACCTGTCCTTTCATGAACCTGTGAATTTGCTCCCCAATTTCCACACTTCATCAGCCAAGCCACATTTCTGGGGGAATTTCTTTCCTTCCAAAAAAAATGGTGTACTGAAGGCACTAGGAGCCAGACAATAGGTCCAGTACTCTTTCCACCTTGCTTTTCTCTGAGGGACCCCAGGGGAGGTGGGGATGTGGAGATGTGGGGTCTGACCTAGCCCCTGTCCACCTGCTCATCCTGTGTCCAATGTGCAGAGCAGGTTGCGGTGTGCCCGGACCCCAGTTCTGAGACCAGCTCTTCTGAGGAGTCCTGCCTGAACTGCAACAGACCTAAGACCTGCAACAGCGATGAGAACTGCCCCCAAAACACCAAATGCTGCCCCAATGGCTCCTTCAGCCGCTCCTGCATGGCCCCTGTCATGGGTAACGTTGCCCTCCTCATGCCCTTCACCATGCCCTGTAGGGAAAGGGTCCACCTTGCACCAGTACGCCTTACCACTCTTAGTGAGCAGCATTCCTGTAAACTTGGCCTTCCATGAGCCCAGTTCATAGGCACAGGACCCGTCCAGGCTCCCCATCCTGCCCAGCATCACCAAGGCCCACTGAGCAATTCAGCAGGTGGCAATCTCCCAACCTCACTTTGAAGCTTCCAGGCCAAGGGGCAGTGTAGCAGAGAACCCTGCCATGAGACCAGCAGCAAAGTGGCCCCTGAAATGCTAGTGAGTGATGACAGGCTGGCCCATCTTTCCTTAGTCCCTGCCCCAAAGGCTGGACGCTGCCCCCGGGTGCAGAACTCAATGACCGCAACACCATGCCTGGAGAGCAACCAGTGTTCCAGGGATGATCACTGTGAGAACAACAAGAAGTGCTGCTTCAGTGGGTGCGCCATGAGGTGTATGGACCCCGCTGCAGGTATTCGTCCCCCAGGACTCTCCTCACCATGACACCCTGGGTTCAGGGGAGGTGGCTTCTCCCTTCACCGGAGGGCAGAGTGATGCAGAAAAACGCGGGGGGCGGGAGGAAGAGGGCTTGGGAGGTAGAGTGGCAGGGGCTGCCCCAGATACAGACCTCTGCGGGCACTTGATGTGACCACTGGGCAGAGAGGGTGTCAGGCAAGCAAAGAGGCTCAGAGAAGCCCATAGACTTGCCTGATGAGACTTGGTCCAGCTGGGCCTGTGTAAGGTCTGTGCCTTTGCCACTTTTAAAGAACTGCTCAGGTCCCAAATATGGGAGGAACTTTGGGTAAAAAGCCTAGAGATATAGGTTCCCAGCTAACAGCCCATGCCACCTTCGACCCCTCCTATCTGCCTGCCTGTGGGAGATGGTAAGGGCTGGGAAGGGTAGGTGTGAAGGGCTTGCTGACCTTCCTGCCTTCAGGCTAAGTATATGCCCGCAGTGCCCCTTCCTGCCCCGCCCCCACCATGGACAGGCTCAGTGCAGTCTTTAAAACCTCCACATTCCCTGCAGAAGATTCCCTTCATTGAGGGGCTCCTCCCAGAAGCCCCCATTGCCAGGAGTGGCCCACCTCCTGAGTCTGCTGAGCAACAACCTTCACTCTCAGTTTCAGCGAGTGCAAGATACCTCTACCTGCTGCTAATAAAAACCCACTCAGCTTCATGATTCTTTGTCGGTCTGTTTGTCCTGGTAACCTGCTGAGGGGGTGTGAAACATACAGGCCTTACCTCTGGGAGCTCCCTGGCAGACCAGGGAAGAAACAGATGGTACCTGGTAAGCCAGGCTTATGGGACTGGAGGCCGCAGTGGTGTCTCTGGGCTAGAACAAGCTTGACTCCCAGGGCACTGGCTCACTAGGGTCTGACCCCTTTTAGAGATGTTGCTGGAAATGGGGACAGGAGAGGAACCCTCAGAGAATCTTGGGTTCAGGGGTTGCCTAGACCTCTGTCCACAGCTTGTGTGGGTTTGACCAGTTTGGGGGTGTCCAAGGGCACAGACTATTACAGAGAGTTTAAGTACTGACAGCACTCTAAGAAGCATTGTTTAGAACTTCCAGCGAAGTGTGTACACCCCACTTCAACACCCAGTGGGTGTCCTCCAATTCATTTCAGAGGCTACTGCTGAAATCAGGGCATACCCACAGGTCAAGGTCTCAGGCCCACAGGCCACCACCACAGCAGAAACCAGTCACAGGTCCCAAGGCTCACCTGCACTTCTGACTCACTTGGTAACAAAATTCAGGGGTTCCCATGACCCCACAGTTTAATAATTCACTGGAGTTACTCACCAAACTCATTGGAAGTGCTATGCTTATGTTCTATGCTATGCTTATGTTCTATCACAGAGGCCTCCCTGGTGGCCTAGGGGTTAAGTCAGCACTATCACTGCTACAGCCCACCCATCCTCAGCCAGGGAACTAACCCACTTATGGCACAGCAGACCTCTCCTGTCTTGCCCGCTGCTCCCCTCATTAGGGTCAGAAGTTTATCAAGGTTCCATTACAAAGGCATTATGATCAAGTCGTTGGCCTTTGCTGTTTTTTTCTTTTTAAGATTTATTTATTTATTTATGTATACAAGAACTGGGGTACAGACCAGAGGTGTCGGGGGTGAGAGGATTCAAAAGAGACAGAGTGGGGAGCAGAACAGGCCAAACTACTGAAATACACTGCTGAGGGAGGTAGTGGGGGAGACAGGAGAGGTCTGCTGTGCCATGTGGGTTAGCTCCCTGGCTGGGGATGGAGCTCATGCCACAGTGGCTGCGGATAGCTTCATAGTGCTGCAACTTAACTACTTGAGCTATCAGGGAGGCCCCAAATCATTGGCCTTTGTGATGGACTCCGTCTCCAGTCCTCAAATCACATGGTTGGTTCCTCTGGTCACAGCTGCATCCTGAGCTATTGAGGGCTTCTCATCCCAAAAGTCACCTCATCAGCTTAGACTGAGGTCTGGGGAAAAGGGCTTGTCAGGGAATGAAACAGACATTTTTGTCACTGAGGAAAGTGAAAGCTTTCAAAGCTCTGTGACACACACAGAAACAAAGGTAGGCAATGGTTCTTCATCACACCACACTGTGTGAGTTGGTTTCTGTCACCTACAGTCCATGCTGTACCTTTTCTGTCATAACTTCTGTTCATGCACATTTAAACCATGTAGGTGCTTTAGAACTCAAGCCCCAGGCCCTTTTACCCTCAGATGGTGTTCTCCCCACTCAAGCAGCAGCTTCATCTGGGGGCACATCCCTGGACCCACCAGACCTGTGAGTCAGAGAGCTGGGGTGGGGGCTGCACTTTATTTTCACAAGCTCTTCAGCAAGTCAAGTTCCACTGGCTGCAACTGCAGGACTTCCAGGTTCTAAGGTGCACTTGAATCTCCCAAAAATCTTGTCAAAGTGCAAAGTCCAACTCAGCAAATCTGAGTAGGCCAGACTCTGCACTTTTAGCAATTCCCAGATGAGGTCTAGAAGGCACCTGGCACAGAGGCGTGGGAGTCTAGAGTTTGGCAGGGAGGTCCCAGGGTGAGGTCCCCAAGGTCTGGGGACTGGCCATGCCCACCAGCCATACAGTGCCAGAAGTTGGGGCACCAGGGTTGGAACTCGCCTGACCTGAAGAGGACCTGGCCAGATCACAGTCTATGAAGTGGCAGCTGCCTAGGACAATCCTCGGTTCCACACCCAGGTCCCACGTGTCTTGCCACCAGCAGTGGCTGCTGCTGAAGGGCAGATAGCAGGAGGTTGTCAGATTGATGTAGACTGGAAGATAGACATCTGAGCCCCCACTCTCATCTGGTCCTATCATGCTCCTTCTACCTCATGGTTAGAAAACTAAAATACAGTGAGGAGAGTGACTTGGAAATACATAGGGGTGCAGAAAAGCACCTCACACTGGGGAGCCCCTAGAAGACTAGCCCAAGGCCCTGGAAGGCACCATCTTTCCACAGAGCATGTGGGTCAACATCTGACCTCAGGGACCCCTCAGTCAAATTTGGAGACTGGAGAGCAGAGATAGCGAATGAGCCCACAGGCTAGCACAGCTGCCCATAGAATTCCACCAGGCTGCAGCCAAAATTGGAGAACTATAACTTACAACAAAATCTGCCAACACAGAAAACCTCTCCATAAAATAATGAGGAAGAAAACAGGCTTATCAGGGAATAAGCACTGAACCAGTATTCATCACAGCAGCTCTCAGAGAGAGATAAGCCAGAAAGGCTTGCCTTGTTACAGACAGGTCAGCCCAACCCTGCGCATTCTCCAGAGAAATGGAAAGCAGTGCCACAGAGAGAACTTCTCTTTTGTTTGTGATTCTATTTATTAGCATTCTCTCTCTCTCTCTCTCTCTCTCTCTCTCTCTCTCTCTCTCTCTCTTTTGTGAGCCTGGGTAGGAATTTGTTGGTTTTTTTCAAAGAATCAACTTTTGATTTTATTAATCATTTGGAAAGTCTTTTTTATTCCTATTTCACTAACTTTTGCTCTAATTTCTATTATTTCCTTTCTTCCATTTGGTTTTGGTTTTGGTTTTGTTTCTTCCTTTTCTAGTTCTTAGGGTGTAGGATCGGATTATTTTTTGAGCTCTTACTTGTTTTTTGATGTTGGCTTCTAGTGCAATATATGTACTGCTTTTGCTACATCCCATAGATTCTGGAAGCTTGTAACTTCATTTTTGTTTGTCTCTAGGTATTTGTTTAATTTCTTCCTTGATTTCCTCACTAACCCAATAGTCATTCAGTAGTATGTTGTTCAGTCTCCAAATATAAGAAGTTTACCCCCACTTTTTTTGTGTGGTTGATTTTAATTCAATATCAGTGTGATGAGAGAAGATACTTACTAGATTTCCAATCTTCTTGAAATTATTGACACTTGTTTTAAGATCTAACGTGTGGTATATTCCAGAGAATGTGCACTTGAAAATATTATGTACTCAGCTTTTGGAGATAGAGTGCACTGCAAATGCCTATTAAGCCCATATGGTCTAGTTCCTCATTTAAGGCTATTGCTTCTTTGTTGATTTTCTGTCTGATTGATCTCGCCACTGACGAAAGTGGAGTGTGAAGTCCCCTAGTACTAGCGTGTTGCTGCCAGTGTCTGTTTTCAAATTTGTTAATAGTTGCCTTATATAGTTTGATGTCCCTTTGTGTAGGTGTCTCTGTATAGATGTCATTACATTAAGATAACCAGTTGTTCTTTTAGCTTCATGAATTTATATATTCAGTTCCTTCTGCAGAATAATTTCTCTGTTCCCTTCCTTTCTCTCTCTCTCTCTCTCCCCCTCTTCTGGACATCTAATATTCTTATGTTGCCTTTCTTAATAGAGTCTGATAGTTCTCAAAGCTTTTCTACATTGTTTTTCATTTGTATTCGTCTTTCTTCTTCCATCTGGGTACTTTGTGTATTATTATCTTGAAGGTCACTTATTCAATCCTCAATTTTTTTATTCTGAGTCTATAACTTTCTCCAGAATTTTTATCACCTCTAGTGATCTTTTTATGTCCCACATGTCTGTTATTTTTTAATTTACACAAGAGTTTTCAAGCTTCAATTTCTATTGTTTGTTCATTAATCTTAGGTCACATGCCATTCATATATTTTTTTGCATTTTATTGTATCTCTTTGATACAGGGTTCTCTTTGATATAGGGTATCTCTTTGATACAGAGTTTGCTAATAGCACCTTGACTTTCTTTTTTGTGTTTTCTTCTGGTTCTTTGAATTTCTCTATGATGGCAGTTTTGAACTCTCTATCTGATGGAAGACAAGCTTTTCCAGGTCTTTTTGCTTAGATTTTAGAAAGCTGTTTTTGCCTCATGAAGATATACTCCCTTCAGTTCTCAAGGTATTATGTGTTGTTTTTTGTTTTGTTTTGTTTTTTGTCTACCCATTTTGCTGTTTTAGATTTCTGTATTTTTGTGGGGTTCTTAAAGATTTATTTATTTTCATACAAGAGCTGGGGTACAGGCCAGAGGCGCGGGAGGGTAAGAGGACTCACTAGAGACAGAGCGGGGAACAGAACAGGCAGACAAGTGAAATACACTGCTGAGGGGAGCAGCAGGCATGACAGGAGAGGTCTGCCATGCCATGTGGGAATCTCCCTGGCCAGCTGGGAATCAAACCCACACGGCAGGGGCTGTGGACAACCTCACATCACTGCGCTCAACCAGCTATGCCACCGGGGAGGCCCAATTTCTGTATTTTTGAAGCATCTATAGCAGTAGCTTGGGTAGCTGCATTGCTTCTTTTTTCCAGCAGGTGGTATTATGGTTTTATATCATTTTAGACTTTTGTCCTTTCCCAGCTGACACAGATACAGAGACTTGATCTTTCAGCTCCTGAGTCAGGGGGGATAAGGGACCTGGAGGGGTCCCAGTCACTGGAGCAAATGTTTGGTGGGCAAGGTTGGATCATGTTTGTGGCATTGCCTATACCTCTCTTCTTTGGGATTCCAGACCCAAGATACTGCAGTCCATATTATCAGTGAATTTCATGAGGTACCTGTTTTGCAGGGTGGGAGGGGGGAGTGCAACTCAGTGCACCATTCTTGATCCTTTTGCTGGAGACCCAGACTGCTGGGAGCACCCCAGGTCCTCCACAAATGGTTTCCTCCCACTTAACCATTCAGTTCTCCCTTCCCCAGGACTGGCTGAGCAGCAGCACTGCAGTTTGTGTAGCAGCTTACTCAGCCCAACCACAGCATCCAAGCATCTCTCTCCACCCACCTCATTTTCAATGAAGCATGAATCTATCTGTGCAGTCCGTGCTGGTCTCTGATGTATAGGAGGTATTCCAGTTTTGCCCCAAGCTACAGAACCCTTTGAGTGTAGTACAGGTCTGCATAATCAGCAGATTAACCTCCAAGGGCATAGCAAGGAACCACCTCTGATGTCATCTTGATTTGATTACAGTCAAGCATAAAGTTTTAAACTTATGATTTTGAAACTGGCAACAACAAATGCTGGAAAAGATGTGAAGAAAAAGGAACTCTCTTACACTGCTGGGGGAATGCATACTGGTCCAGCTGTTAGGGGGAAAAGGATGTCCCAAAGCTAATTCCATACAGGCTTTGTGGACTCCACCCCCACCCCAGGTCAAAGCCAAAGACACTGGGAACTCCAAATCCCATCACCACCAAAGGGAAGGTGGCTGGGACCTGAGGGTGGGGTTAAGCAGCCAGGTGGATACAAAAGGCAGACACGTGGGCTTTGGGGGCTCTCCATTTTTGGGCTCTCGGCCAGCTCGCAGCGTCCGGCCAGCTCTGAGAGTGACTTTGGGTTTCCAGGTCGTCGGATCGGGTAGGACGCATTAAAGACTTTATTTCCCTATTTTCTCTCTGAGTTGTACATTTTCCTTATTTCTTTTTCTCTTGTAAATAAACCTTTTATTAACCCTTTTGTGTGTTTCTGTAGTAGAGTTTTCATAAGTCCCTTTAAAGCGCGCGGGTGAGGACCCACAGCCAGGAACCCGTTTAATATCAGGGTTGCTCTATAACACAGCCACTATGGAAAGCTGTGTGGAGTAGCCTTAAAACACTAAAAATGGATCTACCATATGATCCAGCTATTCCACTCCTGGGAATATACCCAGAGGACACAAAAACACTAATTTGAAGAAAACCTGCACATTTATGTTTATTGCAGTACTATTTACAATAGCTAAGATATGGAAACAACCTAAATGTCCCCAAAATAGATGACTAGATTAAGAAGATGTGGTGTATACATGCAATGGAATATTACTCAGTGATCAAAAAAGGTAAACTCATACCATTTGTGGAAACATGAATGGGGGTGGAAGGGGTTATGCTAAGCGAAATAAGTCAGAAGGAAAAAGAATATTGGATGGTCTCACTTATAGGGAGAATACAGACAAAACTTGCAAGTGAACCATAGATCTGAGGCATAGAGCAGAGGAGCAGTAGGGAGAAGGGTCAAAATGTTACTGGAACCCAGCCATGTTAGTGGTGGGAGCTGGCAGGGGCAGTAGTGTTTTCAACCTTCTGCTCCACCACAAGTTGGTTGTGGCAGTTGCTCCTCAGAGACCTTTTATGTAACAGTGTACTTCCTGGATCATGGAATGGACCAATCAAGTGTGAGCTATAAGCTGATTGTTGTAAATGGTCCAATCAGACTTTTGTTACCAGGACCCAGCCTCCCACAAGTCAGTTGTGGCAGTTGCTCCTCAGAGCCCTTCTATGTAAAGCGCATTTCCTGGATTGTGGAATGGACCAATCAGGTGCTATGGGCTGATTGGGAAATGGTCCAATTAGCCACAGGATTGAAAAATGGTCCAATCAGACTTGTGGGCAGGGAACCCTGAAATGAGATATATGCCAGGGTTGGAGGGAGCTGAAGGGCACATCACCAGCCCCCAGAGAGAAAGAGAGAGAGAGGGACTGAGACTGAGACTAGGAGACACCACCACCAGCCCCTGAAGAAAATAAGATGGTTCCAGCCTCTGAAGAATGAAGGAAAAAATAATCCAGCAGCCGCAAAGCATTCTGTCACAGACTAGGCCTCGGTTCTCTCTCTGACATTGCCTGAAAGGAGCACCAAAGGCCCTAAGCCTGATGTCTCAAAATTGCTGTTTGTTGTTGGTATAGCCCAACAACTCACAAAGAGCAGCTTGTTGTTGGTATAACCCAAAAACTCACAAAAAGCTGTTAATACTGGGTGTCTCTGACACTGGCTCTGTGGGACCAGTAGTGGCCATCACTACTGGCTAGTGCTGTCCAGCATTCCTGGTGACATGGTGGCAACCATCACTGATGCTATCTGGGTGAGAGAGCCACCATGTGTGGATACAGTAAGCTCTTTGTTTCCCCTGTTCGTAAAATAAACCCCTTGGTTGTTGTTCCTAGAGTCTAAGGTCTCTTGCAATTGTGTGTGCAGGTGAAAAAGCACAGACACTGATTTGTCCTCTTATCAGGCACTGTCCATTGTTAGGCTACAGCTCTTGGCTTTGGTTTTTGGCCTTTTGGGGCTTTTGGGTGGCTCTCTGGTCTCAGAGCCTGGACAGGTGGGTGGCCATTTCATCCTTCTATCCAGCCTCCCGCCTTATGGCCTCTTTTGTGGCCTTTTCCGCCCCTGTTTCAAGATCAGGGGAGGAAAGAGCTCAGGGTGTTATAGGGCAGCCCCGAGGACATCCTTTTCCCCCTAACAAGGGGACTATGGTGATGGTCATGGGTGCCACAGTGGTGGGAGAACTATGGGACTACAAGAAAAAAATTAAGCCAAAAAACTAAGTCTACAGCTTGCAAGTGAGCACTTAGCAGCCCCCCCATAAAGCACACAGCCCACAGCTCCTGGCTCCTAACACAGCCCAACCTGGGCAATCTACACCAGCGCTCCTCCAAAGACTATGGAAGGGTGGTGACACTGTGCTCTTGACAACAAAAGGTTTCCCTCGTACTCCGTTTAAGGACCTGGGTACTGGCTGTAGGGAGACCAAGTGTTCAAGACTTCTCCAGTTCTTGAATTCCTTTTCCTTTCTTTTTCGTCCCATGTTGCCCATCCTGGTTCTAGTTCAATTTTCGATCACATAGTTTATACCATTAACAAAGATGGCATTCGGTTGGAAAGAGGTAGGCAACCCTGTGCCCTCGACAAAGATGGCTTCCCAACGGAAGTGGATTTTGGCAGAGACTTCCGGATTATCGGGGCGCCGCGAGTCAGGCTTCCGGCGGCGCCACAAGTGACGTAACTAGCGCGCCGGGCCTCGTGGGCCGAGGACAGACTTGGGTACATGGAGGTCAGCGGTGGCGCCGGCGGTGCATTGGTTTCGGGGCAGGGAGAAGGGGTTGTTGAGTGTGGGTCTTGAGGGAAGAGGGCGTGGCTGCGAGGGGAGACCAAGCGGGCGCTCCCAAACGTGGGGGGCGGGAGAGCAGCCTGGGCTGAGGGTCCATGTCCTGGTCAGTGCATTTCGTTGCAGCGCCTGCCTCTTGCGCAGTCTTGGGAGGGGGCTTGTGCGGCCAGCGAGCCTCCACTGACTCCGCATCCCCAGTGAGTGGTTTTCGTGCCCGAGTGTCGAACTTCCGGATTGGTATCTGTCCAAATCTATTTGGGCTTCTGAACCGCCTAGCTCTAGGGTTGTCTTCAATCGGAAGCGTTTCAGGTGCTTCCCGGTTACCTGGGCTCTGAATGGTGTATGTTGACCTTGGACCAGTATTCTCCCTGCGCCTCCCTAAACTAAGCTTTTTACAGCTGGAATAATCCGCTCGTAAATAAATAAATAAATATATATATATATATATATATATATATATATATATATATATATTCTGGGCATATACCAAGTTTTAGTAAAAAGAGTAACTCCCATTGGCAGGAAAGTGTCTCAAGCTAGCATTTTATCGTGCCCCTATCACGTGCCTTGCCCTGGTCATACAATCATTCTGATGAACAAGACCGGACAGGTAAATTATTAAAAGCATCGTCATCATTATTGACATTAATAACAGATTGATGAAGAAGGTAACACTTTTCTGAGCGGGGGGCACGGGGGTAAGTAGCCTCAGCACTAGGAAGGTGTAATGAAAATGTAAGATGTTGCCCAGATAAAGAGGTAGAACTGAGAAGATGACTCCGGGCCATTTGCAAAGTGTATTATAATTGGTGTTGCCAGTGCAATTTTAATTTTTTTTTAACTTGGGGATGTAAGCTAGCTTGTCTTTGGGAAGCTAGATATATTTCTAAAAGTATTGAGATACATCCCCTGAAGTTGTGGGATATGAATAATTGTATGTCCATAACTTAACAGGGGCTGTCTGATTTTAAATATCCTCTCCCATTGTCTCTGTAAGCCAGTCATTCTTAATTCTGGTTATTCTTAATTTTTTAATAAATGCTGTTGGAGCCTTACTTACAGAGATTCCCATTCAGATGTTGGAGAGACGCCCTGGGAATCTGAATTGTTGAACCATTCTAGGTGATTTTGAAATATAGCTGAACTCAGAACCCTCTGGCCCAAGCTGTAATGCTCCTGAATTTTGATATTTTGTTACATTCGGTACTGAAACTAAAATCCTCTGAGATTTTGCTTCCAGAAATGCCCATGAGTGTGGGCAGTTAGAAAAGAAAAGTTGGGTCTGATTTATTGAGGTTGTACCTGTGATTCAGATTCATTTGTCCTTTGTTGAACCAGGAACTATAAGCACCAACCGAGTTCTCTCTTCTTTTCAGGGCTTTAGAATCACTTCTTAGGAGCCTTGCCTCCCTGCTGCCCAGAGTCAGCATGGCAGCTCGCCTGGTGAAGCAGTGCACCTGCCTCCTGAGAGAAGCCACGCGTCTAGCCCCTGCCGTGTCTTCAGCTGGCCGACTAAGACTTGCTGGGGTAGCCCGTAGGACTCTGACTTCCTCAGCTACCTCACCCAGTTCCCACTTATCACGTCCGTTGTCAGAACTTGTGGAGAAGGAACAAGTGTTTACTCCCTACCCAGAGCGCCAGGAGGTAGACCACCTTATCGAGAAGGCCACCCAACCAGAAGACATCCTAAAGCTCCTTGGTGGTGGTCACTGCCTGCATCACAACCATGCAGCCCTCATGCTCATCCAGATCTCTCGCCTACTATCAGAGAAACCAGAGGACAAAGCCTTGCTCATACAGGATCCCCGTTTTCAGCAACTTCTCAGTCTTACTAACAATCAGGTGGGTTCGTTAGTATTCTCTGATGGTTTAACAAGTGGAAAACAGCAAAGATATGGGGATCCAAAGTAGCCATTCACTTTCCAGGTACAGAACAGGAATCTGTCATATATTCAGGAGTCCTACAACATTTGGTGATGTTTTTTCATTTTGTAGCTATTAAGATACTCTCATATACTTTCTCTCTGTTATTTCTCACAACAACCCTGTTAGGTGAATCTTACTTCCTTATAGACAGGCAGCCAGACATGAAAGTGCGGGAGGTGAACCTGACTTCTCAGTTAATTGGGTTCTCCCTGCTTCCTAATCTGTGTGACAGCCCCACTACCACCAAGCATCCTCTCAGATCCAACAGCTTCTCCAAAAAATGAAGTCATTGTATTGTTAAAAATTGTAATTGTCATTGCAAGTGACAGTGACGAGTTTATTGGCAGAATAGACCTTAAAAATCCTAACTGGTCCTTGACACTGGTCACATTTGCCTGGGATTCACTCATTTTTTTTTAAGATTTATTTTTATTTATTTATGCATACAAGAACTGGGATATAAGCCAGAGGTGTGGGGAGACGTGAGAGGATTCACCAGTGACAGTGGGAAGCAGAACAAGCAGAGATACACTGATACAGAGATAATCTGTTGAGGGGAGCAGCAGATGAGACAGGAAAGGTCTGCTGCGCCATGTAGGTCAGCTCCTTAGCCGGGGATCAAACTCAGTCTGCAGTGGCTGGTGATAGCTTGATAGCGCTAAGACTTTAACCTCTGTATCACCAGGGAGACCCACTCACTCTGACTTTAGTCTGGAGCTGGGGCGTGCACAAATGAGACAGCAAAAGTCAGGTATGTCCACCATGCAGAGCTGTAGCTAGAACTCCATTTAACCCACTACATCACTCAAATTTGTGTTAGAGAAACTAGGCAAATTTCTCTTATCACTCAGAGTCCTTGCTTGCAGTTGATAGCAAACAACTTGGCTAAAGGCAGCAAAAGTAGGATATTTTTTTTGGAGACTGGAGAGCCAGGCCCAGACAGAGGCTATGAGGAGTAACCTGATGTAGACAGTTGGAAGTGCCTGTCTTAAAATATTGAGGAAGATCATTCTAGGGAGGCAGCTTCCAGCTTAGACCCTTGGCCCTCTCAGTAACAACACAGATGTGAATTTGCCTGTGTCCTTCCCACCCAGATAACCACAGTCTGGCATGGAACCCTCGTGAAGCTGCTTCGGAGCCTCTATACACTAGGACTTCCCTCACCCTCCAAGGAACTTCGGTCTGTGGAGCAAGAGGTTCGCTGGCGCATGCGCAGGCTTAAGTACAAGCACCTGGCCTTCCTGGCTGAGTCCAGCACCACCTACATGCAGGGGCAGGACTCCCAGGAGCTGCTGGCTGAGCTGCTTGTGCACTTGGAGCGGCGCTGGGCAGAAATCGAAGACAGCCGCATGCTGGTATCCATCATGATGAAAGCAGGACACCTCTCTGAGTCACTGATGAACCGCTTAGAGGACAAGGTAGTGGAGCTGAGAAGAGGCTTCCTGCCTTCTCCTCCTCCTCCTCCTCCTGACCCCCTACCCTACCACCACCAGCTCTGGACTTATTTCTTGGGTGAGGGCCTCTGGGAAAGGGCTATGTAATTAGGAGCCCTGGAAGTTTTTCTTTCCAGAATCTGGGGCATCACCTTGGGTGGGATGGGAGCTCCAGGCAGCTATAGGTGGCACACCTGTATTCTATGACCATGTCACTGAGTTCAGTCCACTGGCTCCTGGAGAAAAGAGTACAAGAGCCTGAATTCTGCTCCTTAACATCCAAAATTGCTTCATTCACATAATCTTGAGAGATGGGCGTAGCCTGAGCCAGCCGAGATGGCTGGCTAGCACTTCCTAGAGATGTTATGTCCCTATTCCCCAAACCCTCTGCTCCACAGTCCAATTCATCCCCTATTCCTATCATAGTGGAGACTGGCCCGGATGACTGCCACCACAAATTCCACAGTTCACGGGCCCTGGGTCTCCTGACCTTGGTCCTGGGATAAGTTTGACTGCAAACATTGCCTCAGGCCCAGGGTTTCCTTGGGTGGGAGTGAGACAGGCCCTGCATAGATGGGGCCTGGGTCTAGGAAGCTCAGGTCTAGTTGCTGTCTCGCAGGGACTGCACTGCATGGGACCCCTGGCCCTCAGGCCAACAAGCTGACCCCTGCCGGCTGTGGTTGACAGTGTCTGGAGCTGGTGGAGCAGTTTGGCCCTGATGAGCTACGGAAGGTGCTGTTGACTCTGGCGGCCCAGAACCGGCGGTCCGTGCCCCTGCTGCGGGCTGTCTCTTACCACCTGGTCCAGAAACCCTTCACCCTAACTAAAGGCATTCTCCTGGACCTGGCCTATGCCTATGGTGAGCCCTTAGGGGAATAGAGGGGACAAAGAAGCTCTGGCAGCAGCTATGTCAAATTGGGTGCTTGGCTTACCCATGGCAGGCACCAGCCCAAAAGGCTGCCACAGTAGCACTGTGACTCATGGGCCCTGATCACCTCTTTTGGATCTCAGGGATAAATTTGGTCACAGACACCAAATTCCTAGAGCTTGACCAGGGCAGGGAGGTGGGGTGGATAGTGGGCAACCTGCCTGCCAGCCCTAACCAGGTAAACCCTGGGGTCTGCTCTGTCCCAAAGGCAAACTCAACTTCCACCAGACCCAGGTGTTCCAGCGTCTGGCTGCTGACCTGCTGCCTCATATATCCAGCATGACATCCAGCGAGGTGGCCCGCTGTACCAAGTCCTTTGCCTTTCTCAAGTGGCTCAACCTGCCTCTGTTTGAGGCTCTTGCTCAGGTGAACTGAGGATGTACACCTAAGGCATGGGCCCCTGGTGGCAAATACATGTTTCTTACTCTTTAGCTTATTATACTTGTAAAGAAATGATACTCTGCAAGGAAATATAGTTGAGGGGAGTTTCCATTCTTCTTTGGGTCACTGCAGCAGGGAGCAGCATGGATGGTGAATCCAAGGGTCCATACAAAACTCTTCCCCAAAGAGTTGTGAGGAAAGACATTGCCCAAGGCCAGAGTTGTGTGAGCCTGGCCGAATCTGAGTTATTGGTCACAGAGTATTTCTAAAGCCATTGGGAGTGCGGTTCCTGAGGTCCTAGTCCTTGAGTAATTGCTAAGAGGCTGGGGTCTGGTAAATTACCCTTTGTTTCTGGGGCCTGTGGGACCACAGGGGGTTGGGGGATCTGCCCTGGCCACCTGGCTCCTCTCATCCTGCTCTCTGCCTTACCTGGTCAACCCAGCACATACTGAGCAGAGCCCAGGACGTCACCCTGCCGTATCTCTGCAACATGCTTCTGGCTTTTGCCCGTCTGAACTTCCATCCAGAGCAAGAGGAGCGGTTCTTCAGCCTGGTATGGTCTTTATGCTTTCATTCCTCTATCCTATACCTTCTCCCCTGCTGGGCAAGAATGAGACAAGTTCTGATGTGGGGATTCTGTGGGGGGTAGTAGGGGATGAGCCAGCTTAGCCAATATCCCAGGCCACTGTGTGACCCAGACCTGCCAGTGCTCAGGACCATTCCCTCACTATGCAGTCAGGACTTGGAGGCTCCTGGCCTACTTTCCCAGAACCCCCCTTAACTTCAGTGGTCTACCTCAGACCTGCTGATAGGGCCAAGTGGTATGCAGGCCACGATGCTGAGTGCACCCAAATCTTCTGTGGACCAGGGTTGCCCTTGGCCCCTGAACAGGGTGTCAGCCAGCTCTCCTCAGCACCAGCTGCTAACCTTTCATATCCCTTCTTCCTCTCAGAGCCAGAAGTACCTTCCCCTCTGTCCCCTGCCAGTGGAGGGGGCCTTGGGAAAGCTCAGCTGAATGGCCTTGCTATCCAGATTGACCCTAGGGGATGAGGAAGTTTTCTGGTACCTTACAACTAGAGTTGCCAGAAGCCTGCCCAAAAGTGCCTCTGAGGTTCCTCCCCAACTACTGTGCCTGGGGAGATCTGCAGCCACTAAGCAGAGCCTGCTTTCTCCTTACGGCCCTGTCCTGGCCCAGGTACATGAGAAGCTGGGGTCAGAGTTGGCACGCCTGGACCCAGCCCTGCAGGTGGACGTGGTGTGGGCCCTGTGTGTGCTGCAGCAGGTACAGGATGCAGAGCTGCAGGCTGTGCTCCGCCCTGAACTTCACACCCAGTTTCTAGGTGAGCATTGGGAACATCTTACCTCTCCCGAGTGAAGGCAAGTGCACTGCCTCCCATCTACTCTTGTATCTGTGACAACTGCCCAGTTCTGCCAGCTGTCAGCAGGGAAGGTGGGTCAGTCCAGGTTTCATCCAGCACATGGTCTTTCTCTGTACACTCCCCACAGGTGACCAGCAAACCCATTCCTGAACCAGATTGGGGCTTGGTGTAGGGGTGCTACTCCCTCTCCCCCGGGGCCGCCCTTATTCCTCCATTTTGGTGGCCTACAGCTTTCCCTTTCCTTCTCTCTTCTCCTCTAGGTGGCAAGTCCCCAAAGGAACAGAGCACCTTTCAGAAGTTGCTCCACATCAATGCCACTGCCCAGCTAGAGTTTCCTGAATACACAGGCCCCCTTTTGCCGGCCTCAGCCTTGGTGCCCAAGCCCTCCGCCCTTGATAAGAAGGTGACCCCCTTTCAAAAGGAGCTGCAAGAGACACTGAAGGGGCTTCTGGGGAATGCTGACCGGGGCAGTTTCATGGTGGCCACACAATATGGCTGGGTTCTGGGTAAGGAATCCCCCCTATTCTCTCCCAACAGGTTGGCATAGAGCCTGTTTAGGCCTGAGAACTCTCAGGACTTCAGTGGTCCCCTCTGCAAGCTGTTCTGATCCTGCCCACTCCAGACTGAGGGTTGGCCCAGATTCCCATAGAGCCATGTCTGCCTGCAACAGCAAATAGGCTGGGGCTCTCTCAGCATGTCCTTCACGCTGAGCTTTATCCTGTTGTTCTCTGGGATAATCCCCAAGCATTTCCCATCCCATGCTTCTCTCCAGATGCTGAAGTGCTGCTGGATAGAGATGGCCAGTTCCTCCCCCTGCGGAAGTTCGTGGCCCCTCATCTTACCCAACCCTCTGGGAACCAGCCACTGCCCCCTGGGGTTAAGAGGTAGGTGGCACACAGATCTTGGGCCCAAGCACGCTTGGCTCTTCTCAGAATTTCTCTAAGGGCCCAGATGTCAGCACCCATAGCGTCCCCTTTCTCTCCACCAGACTGGCCTTCCTGAGGTGGGAGTTCCCCAACTTCAACAGCCGAAGCAAAGACTTGCTGGGACGCTTTGTGCTGGCCCGGCGGCATGTGTTGGCTGCTGGCTTCCTGGTGGTTGATGTAAGTATCTGTTGCACAGATATGACTATTCAGGAAGAAGCCCCCATCCACCCAAGGTAGAAGTGAGGCCAGGACTGCTCTGTGACTAGTATAGAGCTCTGTGGGTTCTCGCCTATAAACACCCAGAGAATACATGAGTGTCTCTATGGGTCACATAAGAGTTTAGTGATAGTTTCTTCTTCGGGTGGTTTTCTTATAAACAACTTTTTTTTTTTTTTTTAAGATTTATTTATGCATACAAGAACTAGGGTACAAGCCAGAGGTGTCAGGGATGAGAGGATTCACCAGAGACAGAGTGGGGAACAGAACAGGCAGATTGACTGAAATGAAATACACTGCTGAGGGGAGCAGTGGGCTAGATAGGAGAGGTCTGCTGCGCTATGTGTGTAAGTCCCTGGCCTGGGGTCGAACTCATGCTGCAGAGGCTGCGGACAGCTTGTTAAGTTGCATCTTAACCCCTTGCGCCACCAGGGAGGCCCCTCTTATAAACAACTTTTAAAAAGTTCACAAGCCATCCTTGTGGCCCATGTAGTTGTGAATCCTTGGCTCGTTGACTCAGGCCCATCCCAGTCCAAGCACTGATGAAGCCAGTGTATCTCTCACCCCCCAGTCCTGCTACTCCATAGACTTCTTCAGGATTTGGGGGCCAGAGTGTGGTATACAAAAAAATAAGCAAACCAGAGGTCCCCCGCCTCCCTGACCCATCTCTAACACCTTCCCCTAGGTGCCCTTCTACGAATGGCTGGAACTCAAGTCTGAGTGGCAGAAAAGTGCCTACCTCAAGGACAAGATGCGCAAAGCAGTGGCAGAGGAGCTGGCCAAGTGACCTGTCCCGAAGCTTGGATCGTGTTCCTAGAGGCCTCGCTGTGGGAATGGGGCGGGCACAGGGTGGGAACAAAGTAGCACATGAGAGGACAAGCCCTGGTGCAGGACTTTGGCCAAAGTGGGGTACAGCTCCAGTAGCAGATGGCCCTCTTGTGGGTAATAAATCTTAATTTTTGGCTTTCAACACCAGGAGGTGTTCTAGGTTTTGTCAACCCAGCTTCGGCAGCTGGGGGATGACTCCGCAGTTCTCCCCAGTGCTCTCCTTCTCTCCGATGTCAGCAGAAGCTGCTAGTCATAGAGATGGAGGCTGCGAAGGAGGGGTAGCTCTGTGGAGAGAAAACAGTCTTCGTCCTGACTGCCCTGGGCACTCCAGCTGCACATCTGACCATCTGTCCTGCTGCTTTCTGCCACCCACAGGGACGCCTCATTATACACTCATTCACCTGTGGTAGCCTGTAGCTTCAGGCCTGTGGTCAGCCTGGCACTGAATCCTTGAATTCTAAACTTCATGCCAGTTGAGTTTTCAGTGCATGGCCTAGTGTCCTCATTGTGGTGTGGTTACTGATCCCCAGTTGTACCAGGAGGTCTCCCATCCATGGTCTTAGAGGAATTGGAGGGCTCCTGATGATCTGTACTGATGGGTGACGGAAGGACTGGCACTTGGGAAGCACTGACTCTGGGGCAGAAGAAGGGAGACCACTGGGCTGACACTGCAGGGTCAGGAGAGACCCCTTCCTGTCACCACACCTTCATAGTGTGCGAACCCTTCACTGCTGGGGTACCAGACACTGGAAAGAAGCAGGCTGCCTCCACCCTCCTAACCCACCTGACATGTGCTGGCAGAACAGACTAAGGGGAAGCCAGGCATTGTCGTTTGCCTCCAACAGCATGGAGGGGAGAATGGACGATGCGAGTAGAGCTGAGTAACGGAGGGCCACTTCCTCTGGGCCTCCCACCCCTGGCAAGTCTTCTCCCTACTGTTTTTGTGGGGTTTTTTATTTGTTTTTCTTTTATATATTTTTTTACATCATTTTTTCATTTTTGCACAATGTATTCATTTTCATCTTGGTTATAGTCCCCATACAATTCCCATACCCCTTAGTTTGACCCTAATCCCTCGTCCGCCTACCCTTCTCCCTACTGTTTTGACCCTGGGCTTTCCCACAAGCTTGGGGACAAGAGGAGCCATTGGACACCAGTACTGAGAACACTGGCATTTGGACACCAGTGTTGTTGTTGGGTGACCTCAGTTTTGGGAGGGGGTCTCACCCAGTGGGAGGGGGCAACCAGAAATGACTTTCTGAAGAAGGTGATACTGAGCCAGCCCAGACAAGATGAAAGGGTTAGGGAGAGCATTCCAAAGTGAAGGACCAGTACCCAAGATACAGAGCCGGTTCAGGAAGGCCTCTTGGAAGTTCCACTAAGTAAAAGCTCATTCCCTTGCTGATCTACTCAAGAGTCATGGGGGCTCCTGTCAGTTGTAGAAACAGTGCCACAGCCCCTGTGCCCTCCACCCGGGTTCCTCGACTGCAACATCTCGAGTCTGGTGCCATGTTACACCAGTACTCTGATGGCAATAGAAGTTGATGCAGGACATTTCCATCACCAGGAAGACCCCTCATCTCAGCCACCAGTGACCACCAACCAGTTCTTCATTTCTATTTTGTCATTTTGAGAATGTTCTATAGAGGGAATTGTTGAGTACTGAGCCTTAAGTAATTGGATTTCTGCGCTGGTACAGTGCTTGGAACTAATCCAGGTGATTGTGCCTGCCATAAATTCTCTCCTTGTTGTTGCTGTTACATTTGGATTCAACAGTGTGTGCAGGTTTGTGTGTGAAACTATGTTTCTCTAGGATAGATGCCTGGCTTGTACAAGTGCCTGGTTGTATGGGAAAGTACCAAACTTGTCCAGAGTCATTGGACAGCATCCCCATTCCCACACAACATTCCCAGCAGCAGTGTGTGAGGAGCACTTAGGGCCTCCACATCCTCGCCAGCCTGTGCTGTTCTCACTGGTCACTAGCCATTCTAATAGGTGTGTGGTGATGCCTGGTGGTTTCATTAATATTTCTCTAATGGCTAATGATGCTGTTTGACAGGTTGATGACAGGTAAGTCTTTGTCATCCTCGTTGGAGACATCTCTTTTGTACCTACTGCTCATGTTCTTACTGAATTGTTAACTGTTTTGAAAGTTCTTTATTCTAGACACTAATCCTTTGTCAGATGGTTTGCAGATATTTTCCCCCATCCATATCTCTTTAGCCTCTTAATTGACTGGGTTTTTTTTTTTTTTTAAGATTTGATTTATTTATACTACTGCTGGAGTACAGGCCAGATGCGTGGGAGGGTGAGAGGATTCACCAGAGACAGGGCGGGGAACAGAACAGGCAGACTGACGAAATACACTGCTGAGGGGAGCAGTGGGCAAGACAGATGAGGTCTGCCACGCCATGTGGGATTCTCGCCAGCTAGCCGGGATCGAACCCGCACTGCAGAGGCTGTGAACAGCTTCAGAGTGCAGCGCTAAACCACCTGCGCCATCAGGGAGGCCCCTCTTAATTGTCTTACAGAAGTTTTACATTTTGATAAAGTCCAGTTTATCAGGATTCCTTTCATGGGTCATGTTTTATTGTAAGAACTCTTTGCTTGGCCCCAGGAATTGAGGATTTTCTCCAGTGTTTTTCTTACAGTGTTACTGTTTTATGTTCTGTCATCCATTTGAATATCTACTTTGAATAATTTCTATAGTGGAAGAACTAATTCTAGTGAGGCTTTGAAGTTTTTTGGTTTTGCCTCTAGATGTTCAGTTACTCCATTTGTTGAAAAGTGGAATTTGCTGGAAAAGCTGTTTTCTCTCAGGGTTCTCACTCTTGTGTAAAAAACTGGCAAGAGTAAGCCCAGGTTGCTTACTCTGCCCTCTTTTGACTGCCCTCTTTTGCAGTCATTGCTTTTCCTGCAAATTCTGATTACCCTTCACCCTGATCTAGCCCCTGAATGAGAGATAAAGGAGGTTTGTCACCTGCAACTCACAAGTGCTTGTTCTTCCACTTACTGTTCTCTGAAGAGACTTGCTTTATCCATGTTCCCTTCTGTCAGGTATTCTGCTAACTTTCAGTTCACTGATGAGATAATCAGGACTAGATTTTATCGCTTCTCTGTCTTCTGCTTTCCCAGCCATGGATAGACCAAAATAGTGATCTTCAGTGTCATTGCCACATGTTCAGGTAAGCACTTCCAGTCCCCTGGAATTCCCAGTGCTCTAGACGACTGGCTATACCCACTTGCTCTCCTGCCACAGCCATTAGGGATCGTGCAGTATTTTGTCCAGTTCTCTCATTAGCCTATGTACAGTGCTGGGTTGAGAACTCTCTAGGACAAACTCTGGATTCTTGGAACCTTTCATTACTCTCGCTGGCCATCAGTGCCCTCTTTGAACTTACTATTGGTATTTTTTTTGCCAGTTTTTATCCATTTGCTCTTCAAAGCACTTATTTTCCTATCTAATATCCTGTTTTGAACTTTAATGTTAATGGAATCACATAGTGTAGTTTTTTATGACTTGCTTATTTCACTATCTGTTTTGAAGATTCATTTATGTTGTAGCATACATTATTTTTTCCTTTTTATGGCTAAATATTCCATTGTACATACCACATTTTGTCTAGCCATTTACTGATGGACATTTGGGTTGTGTGCATTTTTTGTCTGATTCCAATAATGCTGCTATAAACATTCACATACAAGTGTCCATTTCTCTTGGGTATACACCTAGGACTGTAATTTCTGTGTTGTATAGTTTGAGGAACTACCAGGCTGTTTTCTAAACTTAGCAGCACCATTTAACATTTCCACCAGCAGTATATGAGGGTTCTGATTGTTCTCTGTTTGCTTTTTTAAGATTTATTTATGCATACAAGAACTGGGATACAGGCGAGAGGTGTGGGGGTGAGAGGATTCACCAGAGACAGAGTGGGGAACAGAACAGGCAGATTGACTGAAATACACTGCTGAGGGGAGCACTTTTATATATGTCTATTTGTGGATCTATTTACATTTATTCTACTACATCCAAAGACTCCCTGAATGTATAAATTGTTTTTCAATAAATCTGGGACGTCTTTAGTCATAATTTCATTGGTTGTTCCCCTTGTTCTCTCTCTTTTCCTTCTGGTCTTCTTCCAATTATATCATTGTTGGTGTTCTTGATGGCTTTTCTGAGGCTGTGTTCATTTTTCTTGGTTCTGTCTTCTTCAGCTTGCATAATCTCCTGTGAGGTACTTGCAAGTCCACAAATTCTTCTGCTAGTTCAAATCTTCTGTTCAGTCCTGCTAGTGAATTTTTTATTTCACTAATTGTACTTGTCAACTTACTAATTTTCATTTTGTGCTTTACTAACTTACTTTACTAATATTCTCTATTTGATATGACATTGTCATACTTATTTAATTTTGCTTTCCTTTAGTTCTGTTAACATTTATAATGGCTACCCTTGAAGCTTTTCTTTAAATATGACATCACTCATTTTAATTTTTGAGGAATTGTTTCTTAAAAGTTGTTGAATTTATGAGCACTAAGTTGTTTGTAGCAGTCCCTTTGCACCCTCATGATATATCTTCAGGCTCTGTAGTTCTACCCATGTTATTAGATAGCATTCTTCAGAGGAACAAAACCATTAAGATAAAGAAAGTGCTGTAGGAGCTTTATTTTAAGGATTGGCTCACATAATTATGGAGGCCAAGAAGCTGTTCTCTGCCATCTATAAGCTAGAGAACCAGGAAGTCCATAGCTGGTGATATAATTCAGTCCAAGTCCAAAAGCCAGGGGGAGTCTGATGTCTAAGGGCATGAGGCTACTCCCAGTTGAATGAGAGAAAATTCACCCTTCCTTCCTCTTTTTTATTCAGACCCCAAGGAATTGGGTAATTCCTCCCACACTGGGGTGGCTGGATCTCTACTGGCTTAAGTCAAATCTAATCTTTTCAGACACACCCTCTCAGATACACCCAGAAACAATGTTTTTACCAGCTATCTGGGCATAATTTAGCCTATTCAAGTTGTATGAAATCAAACATCATAATAACCCATTTCCTTCCTGATACTTTGTGACTTTGTTAGTCCTACTAGAAATTTATCAATTGATTTTTTCATTGGTCTCATTGATTTCTATCATTTCATTGATTTCTGCCCAAATCTGGTTCCAACTTTTTGCCTATTTGATTTATTTTGCTCTTCTTTTCCTAGGTTCTTGAGGTAAGAACTAGATGAGTGATTGAAACCTCTCCTCTTTTGTGATGTGCTGTGACTATCCTTCTCAGCACTGCTTTAGCTGCAGACCACATTCTTTGATATTCTGTATTTTTATTTTCATTCAGTTCTTAATTTTTTTCCTGTGTAACTTCCTCTTTGACCCATGGACTATTCATTTAGAAGTGTGTCGTTTACTTTACTGTGTTTTGAGATATTCCTGTTGTCTTTCTGTTACTATTTATAGTTTGAGTCTATTGTGATCTGAGTACGTTCTGTTTGTCATTTCAGTTATTTTAAATATGTTGATTCTTTTTTATGGTCTTTGATCTTGGTGTGGATTTGACCTTGCTGAATGTTAACCACTTTTATGATACTTGTGTTCTGCTGTTGTTGGGTGGAGCATAATCTGTCAATTGGATGCTGTTTGTTGGCATGGTTTGGATCTTCTGTATCCATGCTAACGTTGTCTAGTACTCCTGTCTCCTTGTTGAGAGGGAAGAGTGAGGTAAAGTCTTCAACTGCCTTTGTGGATTTGTCTATTTCTACGTCAGCTCTTATCAATATTTGCTTTATGCATTTCAAGATTGATGGCTGTTATAAACACATTTAAGATAATTGTGTCTTCCTGGTAGATTGAGCTATTGCATAATGCATCCCTCTTTATTTCTAGTCCTTTTCTTTGTTCTGAAGTTAACTTTCTTACATAGCCACACCTGTTTGTTTTTGTTTTGTGATTAATATTTTCACAGTTTATCTTTTTCTGTTATGGTACTAGCAGTGTGCCTATGACATTGAATCCAATATAAGTTCAATAAAGTGAACTTATAAATAGCATATAGTTCAGTCTTGCTTTTTTGCCCACTCTGTCAATCTTTGCTTTTTGTGTATATTGTATTTATTATAATTTGTGTTTTACTTGTTTATATTTAGGTAGGATATAGTCTGCCCACTTTTTGTCTTCTGATTTACCTGTTTCTTCTCCTTTGTTTTTTTTTTTTTTTTTTTTAAAGATTTTTTTATTTTTATTTATTTATACAAGCACTGGGTACAGTCAGAAGCGCAGGAGGGTGAGAGAATTCACCAGAGCCAGAGCGGGGAGCAGAGCAGGCAGAAGGACTGAAATACACTGCTGAGGGGAGCAGCGGGCGGCAGGAGAGGTCTGCACGCCATGTGGGACCCTCCTCCGGTGGCCGGGGAGCAGCCGGGGATTGAACCAGCGCTGCAGAGGCTGCGGGCAGCTTTGCAACCCAGCGCTCAACCGCTGCGCCACCGGGGAGGCCCTCCTTTGTTTTTCTTTTCCTGCTTTCCTGTAGATTGTTTGAATATATTTAAAGACTCCATCTTCATTTATTTATGGTGTGTTAAGTGAACTGTTTTGTATAGTTTTCTTCATGGTGGTTCTGAGTATTAATATATACACATGTGATTTGTCAAATTCTATTGGTAGCAATGTTTTAATGCTTTGAGTGAAACGTGGAAATGCTACTGTTTCAGTCCCTTTACCTTCCCTTCTTTTAAATGTCATCTTTAATATCAGATGGTGTTACTTTTTTTTTGCTTCAGTTATCACACTGCTGTAAGAAACTCAAGATGCACCTACATGCCATATTCCTGCTCTTCCTGATGAAAGGAAGGTCTTAGATGCCTTTCTTTATCAATTCCTTTCTGTTAGAAGAACTTCCTTTGGCCAGCCACTAAGGGCAGATGCACTAAGTCTCTTTATTTTCCCTTTATCTAAGAATGTCTTTCTTCTCATTGTTGAAGAACAGTTTCTTTCAATACTTATGAAGTGTGGTGCCACTTCCTTCTGACCTCTGGTTTCATACAAGATGTCCACTGTCCTAAATGGTGCCCCTCAAGATACTGTGTCATTTCCAGTAATGTGAACAATGAATCATCTGTTATTATCCCACAGGTTCCTGAGCCTCTGTTCAATTTTATAGTGTGTTTCATTTTTGCTATTCAGTTGAGTAATTTCTGTTGACTTGGCCTCAATATGAATATATCCTCTGTGACTTCTATTAGTAAGTCCATTCAGCAAGTTTTTTACTTCTGTAATTCCATATTGTTCTGTGATTTCCATTTGATTTTTTATAATGTATTTCTCTGCTGAGGTTTTCCATTTGCTTCAAGATACTCTGGTATTGCGTGTTGACTTACTTTTGCTGTTTTAAAATTCTTGTCAGGGTCTCCCTGATGGCTCAGGCGGTTGAGTGCTGCACTGTGAAGCTGTCTGCAGCCTCTGCAGCACGGGTTCGATCCCAGCTGGCCGGAGAGAATCCCACATGGCGCAGCAGACCCCTTTTGTCACACCCGCTGCTCCCCTCAGCAGTGTGTTTCGTCAGTCTGCCTGTTCTGTTCCCCGCTCTGTCTCTGGTGGGTCCTCTCGCCCTCCCACACATCTGGCCTATACCCCAGCTCCTGTATAAAAATAAATAAATCTTTAAAAAAAATTTCCTTCTTTAAAAAAAAAATTCTTGTCAGCTGCTGCATCACCTCAGTGATAACTTCAGTTGACTCCTTTTTCTTATTCTAGTTGTGATTTTCCTGATATGATCGGTGACTTTTTTTTTTTTACATTTTAGCCAATGTCATGTTTGGGCGTAGCATGCAGGTCCTGGCCTACTTTCATGCTCAATGCAACAGAGATTTTGTGAGACTACTTTGGTCTTCTTAGAGTATGTTGTATTGCTAGTCCCTGCTAGTGCTGATGAAGGGCTGATAGACTGTGCTTCCTGCTTTGGGCTATCCTGTGCCTCTGTGTGGGGAAGGAATGTGCTTCCTTTGTTGGGGATTAGAGGCTCCCCTGATCCTCCTGCCACTTTTTTTTTAAGATTTATCTATGCATACAGGAGCTGGGGTGTAGGCCAGAGGTGCGGGAGGTGGTAGGGAGAGGATTCACCTGCGACAGAGTGGGGAAAAGAACAGGCAGACTGACTAAAATACACTGTTGAGGAGAGCAGCAGGTGAGACAGGTCTACTGCTCCATGTGGGTTAGCTCCCTGGAGGGGGGAATTGAACTCGTGCTGCAGTGGCTGGCGATAGTTTTTAACCCCTGCACCACCAGGGAGGCCCCTCATGCCACTTTTTTTTTTTTTAAGATTTATTTATGTATACAAGGACTGGGGTGCAGGAAGTGAGAAGATTCACCAGAGACAGAGTGGGGAGCAGACCAGGCAGACTGACTAAAATACACTGCTGAGGGGAGCAGCAGGAGACAGGAGAGGTCTGCTGCGCCATGTGGGTCACCTCCCTGGCCGGCTGGGGTTCAAACTCATGCTGCAGAGGCTGTGGATAGCTTCACAGTGACATGCTGAACCCCCTGCGCTACCACCCTCCTGCCACTTTTTAAAGGCTCCTTTACAGTCAGCAGGACTTCAGTATTCACAAGGGGTTAAATACACCCACCTGGCCCTCCTGGAAGTAGCTTGGGGTCAGGGAATGCCAAACCTGGATCCCCTTCTGTGGGTGGACTGCTATGCTGTTCCTCAGCAGCAGCTCACCTTCCCCTTTTCCTCTTTGAGTGCTGTTTTTGTTGTTGCTTATTTCCTGCTTTTGTCATTGTATTAAGAGGAGCTGAGAGACAAATATATGCCATTTTGTCCAGACTGAAAGGCCCTCAGGCCCTGCTGAACGACTTTTGACTTCTGAATATTTGGTGGTATTGGTGAGTGGTAGACAGGTGGCAGAGCAGTAGGAATTATGAGCAGCTCAGCTAGGGTGATAAGAGCAGGGCCACAGGAGGAGTGACGTTGGAAATCTTTGGGAGGTGAGAATGAATGTGGATGTGAAAGGAAGAGGAGTCCCACAACAGGGGAATAGATGGACTTGTCCAGTGACTCACAGGGACACAGGACGCAGGGTCTTACATTTGGATATTGTGGGTCCGATGCCCATGCAGCAGAGATACCCAGCAGGGAGCTAGCTCTGCAGCTGAGCCTTGAGAGCATCAGAGCGCCATGAGCTCACGGAGTAGAACCAGTTGAAGATGGCAGATGGTTGAGACACACCCCGGACCAGCCTCACACTCCCCCCCCACACACACACACACACATTTACATCACACAAACACACAATGGCTGGTCTGATTCTCTTACCCTGCCCCCACCCCATCTAGCCCAGGGGTGGTGACAGTGTTCTTGTTCCGCTGTCTCCCTGTGCCTGGCGCAGGGTGGTGCTCAGTGAACCTGACTGCAAGAGGACTTAATGTGAAAGCAAGGGCTCATCTCAGAAAGGCTAGGGGAGGACTTGCATTCTTAGGGGTGTGGCAGGGGTGACTGCCAGGAAGGAAGCTCGTTTCTCCTATCCCTTCCACAGCTGAGGGGTGGGGACAGAGCACAACGCTGCAGCGGGGCTCCAGGGACGGGTCCACCTGGGAGAGAGACTGGATCTGCCTTCCCGCTGCACTCTTGCCTTGCCATCTCCGGTTGCCATGGAGAGACAAGAGGTGGTTGCCACAGAGACCGACTGATTGGACCAGCCAATCACTGCAGAATTGCGGCTCCAGCTCACTCTTGGATGGAGGCACTGGGCTGGGTGGGTCTTCCAGCCTGGGCAGCTGGGGGCCCAGAGGAGGGGGTTGGAGGAGAGGAGGGGCCGGACTGATTCATTACCACCCCGAAGTCCTCCGGTCACCCAGAACCTCCAACCACCCACCTGGCCCCCAACCCTTCGTTCTGTCGATGACCCTAGCCTCTGACTGACAGCGAATCCCTCTCGTTAGGAGGGGCATGCTGCGGAAGGGGTCGGCGCGGTCAGGTAGGGGCTTGCGGGGAGGAAGGCCCCGACCCCCCTCACGCTCTGCAGTGCTTGGAGCACCCGCGCACGCTCACTCCGGGTACCGAGCGGGCGGGGCGGCGCTGACATCATCTCTGACCCCACCCCCTGGCCGAGGGGCGGTGGCCGCGCAGGTTCCGCAGGACGGACGCACGGACCGGCCGGGGACAGAGACGGGCGCACGGCCAGGCCATGCCCGGGGAGGCTGCCCACGCCGAGCTGCTGTTGCCCGAGGCGGGCGGGCCGGGGCCCCGCACAGGTGAGGCCGTGGTGCTCTCCAGTCTGCGTGTCTCCATCGCCCTCTCCCCTGCGGTCTGTGTCCCTTCTGTTTCTCTCCTCGCGGTCTGTCTCCTTCCTGTCCTTGTCCCCTCGTCCGTGTTCTCTCCCCCTTCACCCACCACTGTCCTCTCTCAGTTCCTTTCAGCACCCTCCCTTCCTTGTACCCGAATCCTGACACCGCCCCCCCCCCAACCCCTGCCCGGCCCCCACTCAGTACTCTGGGGAAGGATGGGGTGGGGTAGAGATGTCCTCCAGGAGCCAGAAGCAAGGCAAGCGGCTACCAGCCTCTCTGGGCTCCCTGCGATTTGTGGGCTCTGGCCCCCGTTCTGCCCTGCCCACAATCTGCTGTGCCCCATTGTCTGCAGAGCTGCGGGTTTAGGCTCTTCCAGACTGGAGGGAGGGAGGCCCACTCTCAGCTGCACCCTGGCCACTGGAAACACCTGCCTGGCAGATGCCTGAGGGCTGCCTTTGGGCCCGCGACTGATTAGGGGTGAGGAGGGAGGCTCGGCACCGGAGCTGGCGCCTGGGAAAACTAGAGGGGTGAGCTGCAGGTCTGGAAGGTGGTCGCCCCAGGGAGCAGGGCTTGGGGAGCTGTGTTCCCCAGTGTCAGACCCACTTCCTTGGAAAGAATGCTGATGGAGACTAAGGGGGTCTACTCTGCGCTTGGGAAGACCAGGCAGGGTGGCCCCAGTGGAAGCTCAGCCATGTATAGCTCCAGGAAGGGCAAGGGCACCTTGCTGTGCTGCGAAGTCAAGTGGGGATGGATCAGTGGTGCATGCAGGGCCTGGCCTTCCTCTGTGGCCCATTAAAAGGGTAGGGGATTGGACTCCCCAGACCATGGTCTCATGCTGGCTCTGCTCAGACTGCTAAATGATCTTGAATCAGTCATAGAAACCTCTGACTTTTGGTTTCCCTTCCACTTGGCCTTTGGCCCAGCTCCACTCCACTCTTCTGCCCCAGGAGTCCTAAAGTCAGACGTGGGTGGGCAGGAGACACACTGGGGCTCAGTGCCAGGAGCCCAGTCTCCAACACCCAGCCTCACCCACTCCAGGTGTTCGATGTCTTGTCACCCCCCAATGGCCCTAAAGGACCCCTTTCTAAGGATCCACAGACCACCCCAACACTACAGCAGCAGAACTCAAGAGCCTGGTGAGGGTTCACTCCTCTACCCGCTTCTTTGCTCATCATGGCAGAAACAATTCAGAAGGCTGAGGCACAGGAGATATACTTTTGAGTGATCTCTGGTGAATGTGATAGAGCAGGAACCTCAGATTCTGCTGCCCTGAGGACAAGGCTGGGGCCTGAACAGCCCAGTGCATGACCAGACACTAACATGTTCCTGGCAGAAGAGGTGAGCCCTACCAGCCATGTGGAGCAATTATCCCTGTGGAGACTGGGCCAGATGCCCCCATTACTGTCCTACAGGGGGGACCGGGAGGTCCCCTCTGAGCTCCACAGAATGGCTATTATCACTGCCAGCCTCCTGGCCTGGTGCTCCAGCTCAATGTCGATGGGGCATCCAGCCTCTGGACATGCTCACTGTGACCCCCAGATCCCCTCCTCCCTGCACCAAGGAATCCTGGACCAGCTCTGGGGGCAGAGACCAGGGTAGTAAGGAGAAAGACAAGCCAGAGAGGTGAGTCCTTCGCAAAAGGCAGTGCTGAGCAGAGTACAGGCCCCTGCTCGAGAAACCTCTCATCTGGGAGGTCAGGAGAGACACCCTGTCCTGCCAAACCTAGCTGAACCACCAAGGGTCATGTGAAAGCACACAGATGTGAGCTTCCTCCTTCCCAGGTATCTCAGGGAAGAGGCACACACATAACGTGCCCCACTGCTCAGAGTTGTCAAAACTCAGAAATTCTCCCCCAGACCCAGCAAGTCTTTCCCGCTCCTACCCTCCCCAACCAACCCTCTCAGGCCTCAGCAACACCACTCCGAGGGATTCTCCAGCCCTGTGCCCAGCTCCTTTTGGGCCGGGGTGGGTGGAAGAGGGTGGGGGCTGCTCCTGCCCGAGCACCCACTTCTCAGGGCAGATGCCTGCCTTCCTCACTGCCTTCTCTCTTTACAGATTTGTCCTGCGATGTATCTGCAGCCACCACTCCAAGAGGGAATCCACTGGAACACTGTGCTTTGAGCCCTGGGCCCAACACCCTCGCCCTCACGTTCCTGCCCAGCAAGCCGGGTGCCCGGCCCCCACCTGAAGGTGCCAGCTGGGATGCAGGGCCAGGCAGCACCCCCTTGGCCTGGGTGGTCACTGCAGAGGGTGGCCCCAGCCCAGGATCCCCCAAGATTCAGCCCACAGAGGGTCCTCTCCCAACCACTCTGGAGCCCCGTATTGTGATGGGCGAGGAGACATGCCAGGCACCCACACCACCCAAGACAGCCCTGCCAGAGCTCAGGGACCTGGAGGGTGGGCCTGCTAGCCTGAACCCACCCCCCGAGTTGTGTTCTCAGGGTGACCCTCCTGTGCCTTTCCCTGCCTCAGACCCAGATTCCTACTTCACTCCTCCCTCAACCCCCACCGAGATCGCCTCTGCCCTGCTGCCCAGTCACTGGCCCTGCACGTATGCCTGGGACACACAGGTCGAGCCCAGGGACTCACCACCCACCTCGCCCGCCAGCTCCTATGTCACAGCAGATGGGGACAGTTGGGCCTCATCTCCATCCCCATCCTGCTCCCTGGGCCTGCTGACCCCGGCTGACGGGCTGGACATCCCATCTGGCTGGGGCTTCTCCCCACCAGGGTCTGTGGCAGATGAGCAGGAGCTGTCGCCTGCTGGGTCCCTGGATCCCCCATCCCCAGAGTCCAGCCTCTCAGCAGACAGCAACTCCTCCTGGAGCCAGGAGGGCCACTTCTTTGATCTGGACTTCCTGGCCAATGACCCAATGATCCCTGCTGCCCTCCTGCCCTTCCGGGGCAGCCTCATCTTCCAGGTGGATACTGTAGAGGTGACACCACTACCCCCACAGGAGGACGAGGAGGATGAGAAGGAGAGCTCAGCCTCTGTCCCCAAAGGGGACTTGGCTGAGGAGGGTGAGGACGACAGCACTTTTGCCTCCTCGCTGCAGTCACTGTCAGACCTCTCCATTACCGAAGGCATGGACGAGGCCTTCGCCTTCCGGGATGATGCATCTGCAGCCTCCTCTGATCCTGACTCAGCCTCCTATGCCGGGGCAGATGATGAGAGACTATACAGCGGAGAGCCCCACGCCCAGCCCACCACCCTGCTCCAGGACGACCATGATGTGGTCTCAGCCTGGGACCTGGAGTCTGCTCCTGAGGTCTCTGAGGGAGAGACTGGCTGTACCTCCAAAAGCCAGGAACCCACTGCTGTACTAACTGGGGTGGGCCCCACTTCAGGCCTGGCATCTGCTGCTGCTCACACCATAAAGGCAGGCCCAGTTCTCTGCAGGGTGACCCCTCAGGCCTGTGGGGATGAGGCGAGCTCCACCCTAGGACCAGTGCCTGTTGCCACAGCCATGCCTCAGCTCCTGCCAGTGGGACACAGTGCTGCCGTGGGCCAGGAGCCTCAGACTGTACAGGAAGAGATGGACCTCACACGGAGTCCAGACTCTCTGCAGAACTTGAAAGAAGAAGTTGAAGGGTCTGATACTATGGTCAGCTCTGATCCCCAGCCAAAAGAAATGGGCCTCACCATAGCCCAGGATCTTGTCTCTGGAGCTACACCCACCCCCCAGCAGGATACAGGCCTCCCCCTAGGTCAGGCTCTGCAGAGAGACACGGGCTGCTCACCAGGGAAAGAGACTCTGGCCACCAAGGCCCAGTTGGAAGGAGGTGGGGCTTGGAGACAGAGGTCAGCACCTGAGGACAGGGATGCAGGCTGCACTGGAGGCCAGAAGCCTCCAGCCATGGACCAGGCCCAAAAGGATGGCCCAGAGCCAGCTGCAGACTCTGGGATACCCAAGATCTCATGGGAAAATGGGGATCCCTCAAAGTCTGCTATGGAGATCCTGGACTCCTCTGAGCCTGCCCCTGGAAGGCAGGATGTAGCTGAGGTTCTGTCAGTGCCCAAGCAGGGAACCCATCCAAATACCCACATGCCCACAGCTGCTAAAGCCCAGCCCCTGAAGGAGGCCCTGGTGGCTGAGAACCAGGAAAGGGAAGTCCTTGAGCCAGTGGCCCAAGGTTCTAGGAAGGTTCCCAGGAGCAGCAGCCCAGGTACCTGTCCTGCTGAGGTCTGCCAGGCACGGCCCCCAAGTGCAATGGTGGAGAATACGGCAACCCAAGGGTTTCCCACAGATGTGACCTCAAGTATCTGTCTGGGATCCTCCTCAAAATCTCCATCAAGGGCTGTGCCCAGGCTGAGGAGTGGCTGCCCCAAAGATATGACCCCCATGCCTCCACTGCCCTCCCAGCAACCAGAGCCTGTTCTGGGCCCAGGCAGTGGAGAGCGGGTCCAGGAGGCACTTGGAACCTTTGGGCATTCCCCAGTGAAGACCCCAGAAAGTCCCACCCAGGGCACACCCAGTGAGCCCAAGGACAAGCTCCTGGGTCCTGAATCCTCTGTTCCTGCTGTCCTCACAGGGGCAGCTCTGGCTGCTCCCAGTGAGTCCCCTGCCCCCTGCCTTTACCAGGGTCCCAAGGAAGACTCAGTAGAGGGTGAGGAGCCTCCAAGCTCTCCAGATCTCCTAAAACCCCAGGGAGGAGCCCAATGGGCCGTGGCTACTTTCTCGGGAACCACAAACTCACCCAGGGCTGAGAAGCGAGTCAGCCTCTCACCCCACTCCCACCTCAGCCTCAAGATGGCCCCTACAGGGGGCACCCATGCCAAAGACTCAGCCTCTCAAATCTCGTCCCCCTGCCAAGTGCCTCCTGGCTCTGGGCCCCAGAGCCCACTCGGCCCTGGAGGACTCCCAGCCTCAGAGCAGCAGGATGACCAGGACAGCCTGGATGAAGGTGAGAGGTGTGGGGGACCCTGCTGGAGCGCGCTTCTGAACTGAGATTTCAGTGGTGGTGGGGTGGAGGGCTAGGCAGGCACTGACCCCCATCATGGTGCAGAGCTGGAAGGCAGACACGATCCTCACACCCTGTCCCCAGATTCGCCACAGGCCGCAGGCTCAGGCCAGTACTCGGACAGCCACGGGGAATCATCGCTTGAGCTGGAGGAGCACGACCTCTCAGGATCTCAGACGGCACAGCGCCCAGCCCAGGTGCCCAGTTTAGGGGGGAGAATGCACCTTGGGGAGGGCTACACAACCCACCCATGGTGCTGACCGCACCTCCCCCCCGCCCCACCTCCTCAGGCCCTGGCAGGCGGCAGCAGTGAGGAGACATCCACCAAAGCCAAGCAGAGTCGCAGTGAGAAGAAGGCCCGGAAGGTGGGAGCAGGGAGACCTGGGGGGAGGGATTGGGAGAGGGGAGGTTTCTAGACAACCCACACATTCCACACCCCACAGTAAACAAATCCCATCAGTGGTGGCCATGGGCAAACGCAGTAACCAGAACACCTTTGTATTAAATTCCTGGGGCCAAGTATCAGTTGAGATGGTCCCGTCAGAGTGAGCTCAGTGCCCTATTATACATACCAGGGGCTGCAGAGGGTCCTCAGGAGTTGGTGGTAGAGCCCTTATCCCCTAGCATTGTGCTGCTTGCCTCCCTCCGGCCCAGAGGCTAAGGTCTGGCCCCTGGGCCTGCTCCTTTCCTTATCCGGATTGGGATCCTGGAGCCAAAGGCCAGGTCTGAACCCATTATGCCCTCAGGCGATGTCCAAATTGGGCTTGCGACAGATCCAGGGGGTCACCAGGATCACCATCCAAAAGTCGAAGAACATCCTTTTCGTCATCACCAAGCCTGATGTCTTCAAGAGCCCAGCCTCAGACACCTATGTGGTCTTCGGAGAGGCCAAGGTCCCAGCTGGGTGGGGGGCTGGGGGAGGAATGACGGGTGGGGCAGGTGCTGGGGACATAAGCTCAGCTCACAGCTGTACCCGGATTGCAGATAGAGGACCTGTCCCAGCAAGTGCACAGAGCTGCTGCTGAGAAGTTCAAGGTGCCTGTGGAGCCCACCACTCTGGTCCCAGAGTCTGCCCCTGAGCCTCAGGGGGGGCCCAAATGCGAGGAGGAGGAAGAGGACAAGGTGAGGCCCAGGGTCTGGCGCCCTGACATGCAGGTTAGGGAGGAGGGACCTGCAGTTGGGGGGTTGGGGGAGGGCAGAGAGAAGGTACACGGCTCCAGACACTCCCCCACTTGTTTCCCTGCAGGTGGATGAGGCCGGGCTGGAGCTACGTGACATTGAGCTGGTGATGGCACAGGCTAGCGTATCGAGAGCCAAGGCCGTGCGGGCCCTGAGGGACAACCAGAGTGATATAGTCAACGCCATCATGGTGAGCTGGTGGGCCCCTAGACACACTGCTGCTCTACTGGGCCCCTCCAGCCTGACCCTCACTTCTGCATTTCTTGCAGGAGCTGACAATGTAGCCACTGACCAGTACCTGCCTCCATCCTGCCCCTCAGCTCTGCTGCTCAATAAATGGGTGTCACTCATCACTTCTCTGCTCCTGCTGCAGCTGCTCCCCCAGTGCAGGTTCCAGCTAAACAGATGAGTTTGAAGATGCTTTCTGGAATCACACAGCACCCGGGGAGGGTGGTGGTCTAACCCACCTCCTCAAGAGGGTGGTGGGTCCGCCCCCCAGACCCATTTCCCTGGTACCCTCTTTATCCAGAGATTTCAGGTGACCTGGTCATCTGGCTGTGGCCCAAGGAGTAGGGGAACTAGAGTTTTCAGAAAGAACTCCCCAGAAGCAGAAGGGCTTTTGGTCTCATGGAGTCATGTGGGGCTGAAGAAGCCACAGGAAGACAGCATTTGCTCAGGAGGCGATGCAGTTAATCCCCCTTATTGCATCCAGATCTAGAGGGAATTACTCCCCATAGTCTCTCTTTTCCAAGTCCAGGAACTGGTGATGTGGGGCCATGTCCCAGGACAAGAGGGTGGGGAACACACAGGGTGGGGTCATGAGCAGGTGGCAGCCCCTGAAGGGAGGGAATGACCCTGACTGACAAAGTGCCAGACCCACCTTTGTTGACATGGTCATCCTTTGTGTCCTGCTGAGGCCCAGGGTGGGCTCTGGAAGATTGGCCCCTAGTACCTGTGACTATCTTTAGTCCTTGCAGATACTTCCAGGCAGTCTGTCTACGTGCACTTGTGTTCATACATGGGCAGAGAAGCCTAGAAACTGCAACTATCAAGTGTCTCCTTTAGCTTTCCTGGCCAGGGCCACACCCAGGTATGAGTCTGATCCAGAGTAAAGTCTGATACTTTGTCCCATCCTGATCTGTCTATCTCATCAGAAAGGAGCCCAAGGGACAGTGCAGAACCCTACATGTGCCCCGTTCACTGTACTGTGAGCCCAGGGCTCTGCCCCTCCCTTAGCCCCAGAGCTTCCTTTGTGCACTGTCAGGGGCCTCACATGGTAGAAGCTGCCTTCTGAGTAAAGAGGGAATCCTGGAGTTAGGCCTCCCATGCCTGCACTTCAGTGTCCAGGCACCAGGCCCATCACACGACAGCCCTGCCCTGGGGTCCAGGCACCTGTCACCTCCACTGCCTTCCTGTGTTCCAAGGGCACAGAGGGAAAGGGCGCAAGACCAAGTAGGATCCAGGCCAAGAGGCCTGGACTGGGTGGGAAGGTCTGGTGTTCCCCTAAGTATACCTGAAAACTGGGACCCCTATGGGGCTGGTTCAGGTAGCATACCCTACCCTCCAGGGTTTGCTCTGGAGATGGCAGCTGAGAGGCAGGTGAGACCGGGCAGTGTAGGGTTTGGGCTTGGAGAACAGGCAGCAACCCTTAAGAGGCCAGTGCACAGCCCACAGCGACACCCACACATCCGGGTAGCCTTCCTGTCCCCATCCTCAGGGCCCCGTGTCCACAAAGCAGAAGCACAATCAGGTCCTTCCCGTGGCCTATCACCACCTGTGCCACCAGGCCCGTCCTAGTTCCCAGCCCAGCTCTGGGCATGCTGGCTAGGGAAGGGGCTGGGCAGACCCATCTCACTGTCCTGGCTCTCAAAGCTGAGCGAGAAACACAGTGGCAACCAGACAGTAAATTATTCACATTGCGGTAAACTTCTTTTAAGGTCTCTGAGAGTTTCAATAGGTACATCATGTGCAAAACCAACCGCTGTCTGGGGTCCGGCAGCCAGGACCCCCTCTGGGAGCGGGGCATGTGCAGGCAGACAAGGCACAGCCTTCTGCCCCCACAATGGGGCATGTCCCACAGCAGCGGCGCCCCTTCACAGTAGAGGGCCCCCTGTGTCTGGGGCCCCTCGCCCTGTTTCAGCCCTGGAACGGGAAGGGCATGCCTTTGAGAGGTCCCGGGAGCCTCCCGGCACAGTCAGGTCGAGTCCTGGTCCATGCTGCAGCCCAGTGCCTCGATGTCGTTACTGATGTCCGAGATCATGCGGTCCCACTCGTCCCCCTCTGAGGGCGCAGACTGGTCGTCGGAGCTGCCCGCCGCCCTGTTCCCATTGGAGGTGGAAGTGGAGGTAGAGCTCATAGCCCGCCGGTACCTGCCAAAGCTGTCAGTGATGATGCCACGGCCGTCCTTCACCCCAATGGTCTCCAGGAAGTTCTCGAAGTGCTGGCTGTCCTTCTCGGGGATGAAGGGCCGCAGACCTGCAGACATGGGACACTTGACCTGGCATATCCAGCAAAGCACCAGCAGACCCAGAGGATCCTGGTCTGCCACCTGGACCTTCATTCACCCAATTCTGTCAGGTGCTGCCTCTATACGGGGGCGTGGCCAAGAGCCACACCCTCACCACACTCCAGCAGTCCTCACAGAACACCCACAACACTGGCAGGACAGCTGTTGTTCAGAGTGGTTTCACACACAGCTGATGCCAAGGCCAACAGCTCCCCCAAGGTAGTGTCTGGCTCCCCAACCTGCCCTCCTACACAGGACCCAGCACAGCAGGCGGAGCCCACGCACTGAAGGAGTTGCTGCTTACAGTGCCCACTGCAAAGTCTCCTGTCCCTGCCCTCTGGAGGTGGAGTTCCCACCCTGGGTTATGTATTGTGAACCCCCTGAGGGACTTTTTCCAAATTTAGAGCTGGCTATATGGGGGAGATTTGCCCACGATGATAAAAGAGAGACTCAACAAATTCTCACAGCCCAGCTCCCCTCCATCTCTGGGGGCACAAGGCACTTCCTAAAGAGAGGTGCCCGCTTATCTGAGAACAAGATGAAAAGGAAAATTCTGAGCCTGGGGTCAGGGGCCTGGGGCCTAAGCCCTGGCTAGTTGATGAACCCCATGGGATTGGCAAGCACTCAGGAGGGCACAGCATGTCTGTCTTCTGGTCCTTTATAGCCTATGAGCAGAAAGTCTTTGAGTGGGTGGTAGACATGGGCAGGCACCATTCTTGGATGTTGGGGGCAGAGGCCCAGAAGCCAGGAGCCTCTAGCAGTCACTGTCAACCAGCAGTGTTCGCTTGATGTCAGCACAAAAAATAAGCTGTGCCATCGTCCTCACTGGATGCCATCTGTGCCAGGCCTAGAATACCACACCAGCCAGTCCCCCTGACCCAGCATGCTGAACCAGCAGAGGCTGGCTGGTCTTTCTGCCGAGAAATGCTGCCTCCACCCAGCAAACTCCTCCTCTCTCACCAAAACCTTTGAAGAGCCTCCCCGGGCCCTCACTGGCAGCATGTGGCCCCTCCTGTTCCCCAAGGTTTCCCACTCAGTGATGAGCCCTCTGCCCAGAAACAGTTGGGTCACACTTTGACCGTATCTGTCTGGAGCCCCCCATTCCTACTAGGGCCCACCCTGTATGTCAGCTGCACTGTCCATTCGGGGACTCACCCAGCAGCAGGAACTTTCGGCTATCCCCGTAGAGCTGCCGCAGGTTGATGCAAAACTCATGCACCGAGGCCCCATCGCGATACTCATGCAGCAGTGCGGCAAATTGTTGGATCTCCTGCGACGAGAGCTTGGTGCGCAGCTGCGAGAGAGCAGGCCATGCGGGCGGGCGTGATGACCATGGTGACAGCACTGCTCTGCCCTGACCAGGCCTGCCTGACACTAGAGGACAGTTCCCCCATCTTGGTGGCAGGAGGGCCCATGTTGCTCCCGGCTGCCCTAATCTGCCCGAGAGGAAAGCATGCCCTACACGGCTGCCAGCCGTCTTCCAGTATCTTGATGCCAAATAGGGGACACAAACCCGTAGACCTGGAAGATGGAACTTTCAATGGCACAACCATGTGAAGCCAGGAGACAGGAGATAAGCAATGAGATGGCCCATTCCAGCCCTTCCAGAAGTGACCAGACTCCTCTGCCACTACTCCCTCTGCTACCACTTGTCACCAGAGACCCAGGCACAGGTCCGTGGTCCAGCCCCAACAGCCAAAGCAACCCCCACAGTGGGCTTCATCCAACTCTCTCCCCAAAGACTGTCCCAGTGGGGAAAGGTGATGTCTGGCGACCACAGCTGAGGCGTGAGGCACCCTACTTACTCCCAGCCCATCGCAAGGTAAAGCAAGCTTCTCCTTTCCCCTCCTCCCTCTTCTTCCCCCCTCCTGCTCCACCTTTAGGAGCTTCTACAAGCAAGGCACCAGCGGCCCAATGGCTTGGGCCGCAGGCGTGTGTGTACCGTCTGCATGTAGTCCTGCAGCAGTTCGGCGGCTGTGGCGCTCAGCTCACTCTCGCTAACTGTCTTGGCGTGGGGTGATGTCTGCATGCAGAAGGACAAGGGCGAGACACCGCCTGTGTGCACACACTCAGAGAAGGAGCTGCAAGAACATGAGTGTGTGGGTGGTGGCTCCCCAGGGCCCCTGCCTTGATGCCTGCAGCCCAGACCCAAAAGGCCCCACTTAGCCCAGTGGTGCACCCAGAAGTGGGAATAAAGGTGGTTACAGGAAAGGGTGGTCAGCTTGCCTGGGCACAAGACTGACTCTGAGAAGAGGGGAGCGTGACAGGTGGACACAATGCCACAGAAGAAATCTGAAAGTAACTGGAAGCCCAACAGGCCTGTGACATAAACCACATCCCTTTGGAGAGCCCATTCACTGGAGGGCATGTGAAAGCCAGACAGGGTGGGGCTGGGGGAAGGTTGTGGTCAGCCCTGTGGTGACCAGTGGGCCACTCACTGAGGGGGTACAGTGGGCCTGACTCTGGAGGGGCCAATGAGGAGGATGCTGACAGGGGTACTCACAAAGTGCTGGCTTCCGTCTCATAGGGCTCCTTCATGTCCACTTTGGTGGAAGAGTCATCTGGGGGAAAGTGCATAAAACAGGGAGGAGGCATGGAGGTCTGTGGCCAAGTTGGAGAGCATATCCCAAAGGCCAGGGACATAAAGCTGCCATTGGGGAGTGGTTCCAAGTCCACAAGTCACAGGGACTTTGTCACTCTGTCTTCCAGGACCTGGACAGGTTTCACGCCGTACCATTTTAGAGGTGGAAAGGACTTAACACAGTTGTGCAACTCGCCCTTTGTCACACAGCTGATGAGTGCAAGATTCACATTTGGAAACAGGAGATGCGGACCCCTAGCCCAGTCCCAGCCCAGCTCCAGGTATGGCTAAGCCACTCCCTGAAGCTGTCAAGCCCAGATGCCCGAGATTCTCTGACCAGCAAAGGGTCTGGCACAAGCAACTACTCGGGAAGCACTGGATAAAGGACATGTGCACAGACCACAAGGGACATTTAAACCACATTGTATGCGGTGAGAGCTTTAAGAGGAAGACAGGTGAGAAAATGTAGGCGCGTGGGAGAGGGAGGTGGCAGTGGGAGTGAAGTAAGTGTGGTGGGCAGGATGTCTACACCCAAATCCCCAGAACCTGTGACTACATGAGATGTAGGGCAATGGGGGTGAAGGCTACTCCACAGCTTACTTTGAAATAGGGTGATCCCAGGTCCTTTAAAGTGAAAGGGGGCAAAGGGCCAGAGGAAGCTGTCGCGAGTCAGAGAGAGACTTCGCAGCCAGCCGTGAAGATGGAGGAAGGGCAGCCAGAAGTTGGAAAGGGGAGGAAATGGCTTCTGCCCTGGAGCCTCCAGAAGGACACAGCTCTGCCATTATGTTGGTATCAGTCAGTGAACAACTCTTACAGACTAAATTTGTGTAACTTAAGCTGCTAAGTTTTGATGATCTGTTACAGCAGAAGAGAATACACAGTAAGAAAGGCCCTAAGGCAGAAATGCATGAGTGTGTGGGCGCACATGTGAATGCTGGTATAAACATACAACTGTGCAAGCTTGCGTGAATGTGATCTATGTGTATGTGAATACACAATGAGGTCCACATATGCATGCTGATGGATGTGCATGTTAGCACTGCTTGTCTGTACTGTGATGTATGTGCGTGTAGGCATGTGCATATGGTGTGTGTGTGAGCGAATATGTGTGAATAGTTATATGTAAATACGTGCAAGTGTGCATGATTGCATGTGCACGTGCACGTGTGTGCGAGCACGGGTGATGCATATGCACGCGTGGAACACAAAGGGCATCCAAGCAGAAGAGGCTGGCCGGAAAGGAAGTCCACTTTAGAAGTTCAGATCAGAATTGTTTACTTTGAGAAAATGCATTCAACTGTAAACTTAAGACTTGTATACTCTTCAGTAAAAGTTTTTACTTAAACAAAGACCCCACTGGGAACTTACTGCATATGGGCTGAACGAATCACTCTACATTTGAATGTTTAAATTTGGCTGGATAAGCCACCTGTTACTCACTCGAGAAGTCGCTGGACTCGGCCTTAGCCGCCCTGCCGTGAGGACACAGAGCTCACTAGCCTAGGCTCTCACCAGCTCTCTACTCCCCACAAGAGCAGCAGAAGACAGCAGAGGCGGGAGAAGTGGTCCTGCAACAGGCCCCTTCCTCAGAGTCAGTTAGTAAACACAGAAGAGGGGTGTCCTCAGCTTCCCCTCCTCCCTGTCGTGTGAATACTAGGGAGGGGCAGAGGGGCTGGGACTTAGCCCAGGGAAGACGACACTGGCAGCCAGGTCTGCGCTGTCTTAGAATCTTTTTGTCCCTCTGACAGAGACAAGTCGTGAATCCTCAAAAAACTATGTATCTGGCAACGTGGTGTTGAGACAGTTTAGTGAAAGTGGGCTGGGTATGACTGGTTTCGTGTGCACTAACAGATTTCTGGAAATGCAGCGAGGAGCCCGAGTGGGAGTCTGTGAAGGGGTGGCTCCCACATGCTGGCCAGCCTTGGGGTGCTTTCACTTCTTCCCGCATACCACCCCCACTTCTTCATCCTGGAAGGGCCCTCACAGAGAGAGCAGCTGAGGTCTGGGCACTGTAGAAGGGAGGCTCCCCACACTCACTTTGTGCACCCCCCACCCCAGTCCCACAACATGCTCCAGAGTATTATGCTGGCCATTCGTTCTGAGTTGGGTGAAGTGACTATAGTTATATGGTAAATGTTCACAGCCCCCAAGGTTATGCAGGAAGCCACCAGGCCTTTGTACTCAAAAGCACACAGTAAGGGGAGAAGTGAGTGTCTGCCTTGTCTAAATCTGTGGCATAATACAAACAGGAAGGTCTAGAAACAAATGGCAGCAGCATCATTGCACACTAGTGCCGCCAGGCTCCTGAGCTCATTGCAAAGCCTGGGAAGTTGGGCCCCTGTTCCCCGCCCTTTCACCCAACATACCACTGTGAAGGGATAGGTGGTGGGTGGGTGTCGAGGCCCCATCAAATATGGCTCTGTCCAGAAAGTCGATGGTGGACTCCGTGTATACAATCTGGAAGACTTGCCCAAGCAGCGAGCACAGCTCTTCCGCGGCAACCTGCCAAGGTGGGGGGGACAAAGCTGTGCCTTTCTAAGCAACTTCCAGGGTGCCCAATGTACCAGGTGCTGAACAAACACCAGGACTAAATGTCCTCTGCTTTCCACCATCAAAAGGGGGCCATGAGAAGACCAGCCCATTGCCAAGATGCTCTCCAGATCCAAGGGTAAGGGTTCAGGTAAGGCTGTTCTCTCCCCACAACCCTAGGAAGGGGCACCACCAACGTCCTCGTACAGTCCTGTCCCAGGTTAGGGAAGGGGTCAAGGAGGAGGGATAGCACCTATGGCAGCTGCATGGAGAGCACTCCCAACTGCTGCAAACAACTTCACATGTGTGCTGTGAAAGCAGGGTCCTTCTAGGGCAGTTCTGTCCCAAGGGCTACAGGGCAATGTCAGGATAAACAGGAGTATTCAGGGACTCACCTCAGATTGGTAGCCCCTGGGTAGCTGAGGAGAGAAGGACTCCTTCTAGCGTGGAGGAGGGTCAGGAGAGACTTAGCAACAGAAGAAAGAGTAAGCACAGCTAGGGCGGTTCTACTCTCTGTGGGTTTTAGTGAGTTGTGGGCAGGGCTGGGCCAGCTGTGGGGGGGGCTGGGCCCAGTGTGGGTGGAGCCTCAGTCAGCAGGGGTGGTATTTGGCAGGTTGTGGGCACCAGAAGGATCCTGATCCCCATCTCTCACCTTGCTTTCTGTGGCCAGGATCACCAGGCAGCATGCCTCCACAGGCCCCACTCCACTCTCTGACAGCGAGCCTGCGGTGAGGCCTCTGGAACTTTCTGCACACAGACTTTGGCTGGGGGAGATGCCGGGGTCCTGGGCTAAGAAGTTAACACCACAGCTGGTTAGGGTAGATGTAGAAACTTAACAGCAGCTTATGGACCACTCTTAGCTGGCTCAGGTGTGAGAAATGCCTATCTTCTGAAACACCCTTTCCCCACCTTCTCTAAACAAGGGACAACAAGTGAGCAGCCCCTAACTGCATGCTCCCCTGTCACTGCCTGCTGAAAACTGATCCTCTATTACCTCCTAGCAATCTTGCCAAAGACAGCACAAATATCTTAGGTTGAGACACAAAATTACTGATATTCAGTGGCTTTTGATTTACACATATTCACAGGCTCCCAGTTTATGTGTGAGGGGCTAGCAATACAATCCTGATTGGAGATGGGGAAACTGAGCCATGGAAAAACAAGACCCAGACCTCGGGGTGTATGACTGACTGTCCCTGTTCTTAACACTCTACCTACTACCTCCTTGAACAAACAAGGTCTGGTGGTACATGTGACAATTATAGGCCTGCCTGAAGCAGAGAGGGAGCCCCCAACCTGCGGAAGCTTCTGAAGGAACAGAGCCCTATAGGGAAGCTGAGGCCCTCCAAGCAAAGTTTGATCCTGGGACTGCACCGCCCCATAGTGGCCTTGGCAGTAAGCATGGGAAACACAGTCCAAACTAAGCTGTGCGCTCCGTGCCAGCTTAGGGTCTCAGAAAGTACGAAGAATAACATGTGCTATCTTATTAGTAACTTTTACAGTCATTACATGCTAACATGGTATTTTGAATACGGAGAGCTAAATACATTAAAATTGACTACACTTGTTCCTTCTTAATTTAGCTCTGTGGGTCATCCCTGCCTGAGGCTAGTCTCCAGGAAGCAGGTGTGCAGCTTAGTGGAACTCATGCATGGTCAATGCTCCCAGTGAGCCCACTCCTGCCCCTCAGCAGCATCCAGCCATGGGCACTTTTAGCCTCAGTCACACAGGTCACTGTTTCCGATTCGCCACCTGCTCCCTACATCCACAGAAACATCTTTTAGCAAGATGTCTCCACGGTCTGTTCCATCCTGGTATAGACAGATGTCTGGTCACCCACCCTCCAAGGTAGCCCTGTCACATGGAACTTTTCCCTCCCATAGCCACATCTGATTCCAACTCACCCTCCCGAAGTTATGCCAAATACCAGCACATCCTGGGCCCAAAAAGACATACAGATGTGCCTGCATGTAGGCACCTACTAAACATTAGCTATTATTGTCACTGCCTGTGTTGAGATAGTCCAGTCCACAGTCTCTCACACAGCATGCCTGACACACACAGGAGCCTCAGAGAGACACCAGGGAAGTTAGCCTTGCTCACAGGCCTCAGGGCTTCACTCCAGGTTAATCTACTAAAGAGAAGTAGAGTCCCCTGGGACACATGGATTCATCCTCTTCCTTTAAATCAAAAGTTTTCAAAGCCCTGCGTCCTGGTTTCATTTGTGATTGGAAAGTTCCCCCATGGAGCTCATTCTCCTGCTTTTTAAAAGTCCGTTCCCCATTTTCTTTAGAAATCCATTCTAATGATTAATGCTCAGACATGTCCGCAGCACAATAACCAAGTGGACCACCTCCCCCCGCCCATCATCTTAAAATGCCTGCTGCACCCAATAAGCAGTCACTTTCCCCATTCCTTTTCAAACCTAAGGATGCCCCAGATCTTGATCCTTCTGTAGGACCATCCCATGACAGGGGTTGGCAGAACAGGGAAGCAGTGATGTGAGATTGTTGCAAAGCCAGGTCCTAAAACCCATCCGTACCACCACTTAGGTACCAACTTAGGCACCTTTGCAAGTTGCTTGACCTATCTGCTCCCAGTTACTCAAGTGCCATGGGAAAAAACTATTTACTGCAGAGATGACTTAAGACAACTTGTCAAATTCTTTGTACTAGCCTGAGTCATTAAATTGCCATTTTTGTAGATTAAAATAGTTAAATACTGGAAGTTTCATGTTGTTCAGCCTAAAACTGCCTGTTAGCAAATCGAAGATGCTCGCTGAATGTGAAGAAGGGAAATGGGGGAATATCAGAACACAGAGGAGATCTGGCTAGAAGTGTTCTGACCAGAGCACAGATGTGTGTGTGGTGTAAGAGTGTGAGGTATGTGTGAGTGTGAGTGAATATGAGTACAAGTCAGTGTTGTGTGAGCATGTGACTTTGTGTTGTGTGTGTACATGTGAGGGTACATAAGTGGTATTGTGTGTGAGAATGTGTATGTCTGATAATGACGTGTGTGTGTGTGTGTGTGTATGTGGCATCAGTGCTGAGAATGTGAATATTGAGCATGGGTGGTATATGCAATATAAGAATGCATCTATGCATCTGTGAATGAGTGTGTATGAGTGAATGTGTTACATATGTGGGCGGATGCAGGGGTGTGACTGAATGTGTGTGTGTTGTGAATGTGGGGGGCATGTGCATGGGTGTGTGTGAGAGAGTATGTATGCCTGCAGTGGGAGGCCTCGTCCATAGCTCCACCCAGCAGAGGGGCTAAAGCTCAGATACCGTCATAAACCATCCCAGAGGTACCTGTGTGGCTGGCAGCTAACATTGTCTGGAGCATGGCCAACCTCAAGGAGTCCATGATGAAAATGTACCTGGGGCTTTGTTCTTAAGTCCCTGGATCCCCCATGAACTACGGACCTGAGACAGAAACACAAGTTTCCAGCCACACTCCCTGCAGTACAGTGTGTGGCCCAGGCAGCTCATCTGGCCACCTCACACCCTGCCACTGGCCCTTTGGAGCTCAACCAGCCCCCTGCAGTGCGTGAGGGTGCCCAGGACAGGTTGGTATTGCAGTACCCCCCCTCAGCATGTCACTGCAAAGGAGACAGCATGAGCAAAACCATAACTCTCCTCATTTCTCAGTGACTTTAACACCAGAGGGCAGGCTGTGGAACCTGGCAGGCAGCTCATCTGTGAGTACCTAGTTGGTGGCACTGCATTGTCACTGCTGGGTGAGGGCAGTGGATTGGGTGAAGGCAGCTTATAGCTGGTTCAAGGTTATTTCTCGTTCTCCTATAGTACAAACTCATCTAGACTGAGAGCACTCTGGCATTCTGGTCTTATCTATGCAACCACTGCTTTGGGAAGACCGGGTGGCCAAAGGCAAGGCCCAAACCCTAACCCTACCCACAGCCCTAGGGCTATGCTTTCAGAGCTCCACCACACCTGAGTGCCAGAGGATGTATCACCTTCCCAGAAAGAAACACACCCGGCTGAAGGATTGACCCACAAGGTTCTGAGCAAGAGCAGTCAGGCTCAGCACCTATTCCTCACAACCTGGGTCACAGCCCTCCCCTGGCCAAGGCTCACCTCAGAAACAGGAGAGCCCATTCTTGGGCATAACAGGCAGCAATAACTGACCCAAAACTGCAAAAACTGCCTCCAGACCTTCAATCCATGAAATCATAGCTCAGGAGAAAGACATGACTGTTTCTGCCCAAGGACCCTTTGACCCCAGGTTTGTACCTGTCTTCAGTACTACCAGGTGGGAGGCATCATCCCGCACATAGGACACGGCAGCAATGTCATGGATGGGGACCCTGAGGATGGTGTCCTCCCCATCTCTCCAGGCCAGTTTGACATTGTAGGCAGACAAGCTGATCACAGCGTCGTGCTCCTGGGTTAAGTGGCCGGGGAGCTGGTGGGCTCTCTGCAAAGAATCACAGAACATCAGAAATGCAGGGTCCCAGCTAGGGCTCCCACGTGCCAGCAGATGAACCTATATGACCAGTGGTGACCGATGAGGCAAGTGCTGGTCCCTCTGGTGTAGTCACACTTACTGCAGGGGCACAGCTGCAGTGTGTTCAAACCTTTAGATTCAGACCTAAGGCATGTGCTTTGGAATATCTTAAATACGTGAATTTTGAAAACAGCCCCAAATCACAAGAAGAATGTTAATGTTAAGACTGAGAAACAGTCTATAGGCAAGACCAAGTGTACCCATCACATGATGGAACTGGATCATCCCTCACAGCCACAAAGGCCAGAGGGTCAGAGTCAGCAAGCTGGTGTCAGAGAATAAGGGTCAGAGGACAGAGTTGGGAGGTGGTGCAGGCCAAGGGTTGGAAGACGGAGTTAGGAGGATGGAGTTACCTTTGCATTGTCTATGAAGTGCAGGATTTCGGTCCTACTGGAGGGATTCAGGTATCCTGGTATGGACGTTAACTGACCTAAGTACTGAAAAAAAGCGTAGAGAGAAAGTGCCATGAGAAAGGGAAGACCAGTGAGCACCGTCATGGCCCCACAGAGAGCACAGCTTGAGCCTGGTGCCTGCCCAACAACAGGTGCGCTTGCCTCAACTCTGGCCTCCTCTAGAAAGTGCACTCCAAACTCTTGGTGAATCTCTAGTGGTTAAGGAGAACAACCCCACATTTCCTACTCTACTGCACTGATGCTGCCATCAACTGTCCTGCAAAGGAAACCTTGTAACTAGTTTTGGTGGAATCTGGGCTCTAAAAGAACAAGTAAGGAGGAAGCATGGGAGGCTGTGAATGTGGCCACAGCTGTGTGGGCTGTGTGTGTGATTATATCTACCAACACAGTTTCTAATGTGGTTTTCTTTCATAATTTCCGAACTGATTTCTTTCCTAGATCTCATGTGCCCAACACTTGTCTTTTCACTAACTTCAATAATCAAGGTCTCTGGGGCAACAGATGCGGGGTGGGCATGCAGGTTCATAGTTGATTCGGGCAGACAGAAAAGAATCTTGGAGCCCTCAATAGATCTGACAACCCTTTAATACTGAAGCAGGAGACCAGATAGAGGCAAACCAGTGGGCAGGGAAGGAGGCAGGAGGGCTGGGAAGTAGGCAGCCAGGTGACCTCCATGCTCTCTCTCCGGCCTCTCTCCTCTCTCCCCTAACTTGCTTCTCAGCCCAGGTGTCTGTATTTACACATGCACATGCCCAACACTTGTCAGGCCTTTTGCAATCACACAACATCACATGTAGGTAATGAGAAACCAGAGAGGAAAACAAGGCCGCTGGTAACGGCTATAGAGGCTGGCGGTGGGAGGAGAAAAACAGCCTGAGCCACATTATTTTCCCTACAGTCTCTACTGAAGAGGGGGATCATCTCCAGTTCCATTTGTGAAGAACTTGCAAGTCCTCAATTGCATCCTCACAAGAAAAGGGCTAAAGAAACTGAAAACCAACGACTTCTTAGATCCATCAGAGAACAAGGTCACAGGGCAGACTGCTGCCCCCCAAAGTGAAGAGGGACAGGGGCAGGGGGCCCATGAGAGGTAGTTCTGCAGGAGTTGTTTTTACAATCATGTGAAAACAAATAGGTAACATAAGCAGAGGACAGAAATTCTAAAAAAACAATCAATGGGAAATACTACAAATCAAAAGCACTATAAATAAATGAAAAATGCCTTTGGAGAGCTGTTCAGTAGAATGCACACAGCTAAGGAAAGAGTGAGCTTGGGGACATGTCAATAGAAACTTCTAAAACTGAAAAGCAAAGTGAAAAAAGAATGGAAGAAAAAGGAACAGAAAACCACAAAACTGCAGGGCATTTTCGTATATGTGCTGCCGAAGCGAGCACAACTGCAGGGCATTTTCGAAAGGTGTAACATGTAGTGAGACCACCAGCGGGAGGAGTGAAAGAAACAAAGCAACAGTGACTAAGAATTTCCCCAAATTAATGTCAGACAACATATCACAGAGCAGGAATCTCGGAAAACACCAAGCAATATAATAAAAAGGAAACAAACTACATCTTGGCATGAAAAATCAAAGACAAAAAAAAAAATCTTGAAATACCCCACAGAAAAAATTACCTTTACCTACAGAAGAGAGAGGATAAGAATGACACTGAACTACTCAGAAATCCTGCAAGTGGGAAAAGAAGTGAAGTAATTTTTTTTTAAAGATTTATTTATTTATACAAGCACTGGGGTACAGGTCAGAAGCGCAGGAGGGCGAGAGAATTCACAAAAATTGAGTGATTTCATGGTTATCTAGCAAAAAATGTTAAAAGAGGGCCTCCCTGGTGGTGCAGGGGTTAAGTCTCAGCACTATCACACTATTGGCAGCCACTGAGGCATGAGTTTGATCCCCAGGGAGGGAGCTAATCCACATCGCACAGCACACCTCTCCTGTTTCCCCTGCTGCTCCCCTCAGCAGTGTATTTCGGTAGAGCCACCTGTTCTGCTTCTCACTGTTTCTGGGGAATCCTTTCACATCACACACCACTGGCCTACACCCCAGTTCTTGTATGCATATATAAATAAAAATAAATCTTAAAAAAAAGAATTTATTGAGATAAGAAAAATGACTGGTCAGAAACTGATCTTCAAAAAAAAAGGGAAAATGTCAGCAGGTGAAAGTACCATTTTTTTTCTTATTTTAAGTAATCTAACAGGTAACAGTTTGTTCAAAATAAAAATAGCAAAATGTATTCGATAAACAGTTCATGGGACAAGTGAAATAAGTAACGGTAGTTATGTGGAACATGGAGGAACTGGAACTACAGTTGACTTTGAACAATGTGAGGAGTAGGGTCACTCATCCATGTGATTTTTTTTTTTTTTAAACTGGGGAGATGAGCTACTCACACAGAGAGGATTAGCATCTTGAGACATTTTAAGCAGATGCTCTCCAACACACCATCCACGCAAAAGCAGGTGGCTGTGGAATTAATACAACAGTGCAGGATGCATTAGCTACTTTTATGCAGTTATGATTTAATGCTGCATCTTTACATTTGTTTACACTGACAACTGACTGCAAGTCTATTTCACACCACCCTCTCTTACTCTCTGCCCACTGACACATACCTCCCCATATTTTACAGAGAAAACTCACAGCAAAAGTACATATTATGTCAGCTTTCTCATATTACAAAATGCTATGCCACTGCTGAATTTTTTTCCAAAATTTTTCCCTCCCCCCCACCCCTCAAATTCTGCTTCCTTGGACAGACTTGACACTAGCACTGTCAGTGGTGTGAATAAAATTGCCTATAATAAATGCCCACAGAATTTTTTTTCATTTCCCCCTTGGGCACACTTGGTCTCCTCCAGGCAGATCATTCTGAGGGCACAAGAGTCTGTGCACATGTCTCAAAGACAATTACCATGTTAATAAAATATTCAATTGTGGGGGGGAGTAGTTTTAGATTTCATCTTCTGATAAGAAGAGGGAATAAAACAAAACTGTATATTGATTTCTCCACTCTCTACAGGACTGGGACACCCCTCTGATAATCAGGAGTTTAAATACCATTAAGTTATATAAACAGTTTAAGAAAATATAAGGGCCTCCCCAGTGGTGCAGGGGCTAAAGAAAGCGCTATCAAGCTACTGCCAGCCACTGCAGCATGAGTTCGATCCCCAGCCAGGGAGCAACACACAAGGCACAGTGGACCTCTCCTGTCTTGTCCGTTGCTCCCCTCAGCAGTGTATTTTTTTTTTTCTTATTTTTTTTTAATAGAGGCATGTTTTATTTATTTATTTGTTTGTTTGTTTGTTTTGTTTATACATGCACTGGGTATAGTCAGAAGTGCGGGAGGGTGAGAGAATTCACCAGAGCCAGAGCAGGGAACAGAGCAGGCAGAAGGACCGAAGTACACTGCTGAGGGGAGCAGCGGGCGGCAGGAGAGGTCTGCGCGCCATGTGGGACCCTCCTCCGGTGGCCGGGAAGCAGCCTTGAACCGGCGCCGCAGAGGCCGCGGGCAGCTTCGCAATCCAGCGCTCCACCGCTGCGCCACCGGGGAGGCCCCCTCAGCAGTGTATTTCAGTAGATGTGCCTTTTCTGCTCCCCACTCTCTCTGATGAATCCTCTTACCTCCCTGCACCTCTGGCCTGTACCCCAGTTCTTGTAAGCATAAATAAATAAATCTTTAAAAAATAAAATAAACCTATGAACAAACAAAAAGAATACATAAGCAGCACATTTAACTACTTGTTCATTCTTTTTTAAAAAAAGATTTTTTTTATTTATTTATGCATACAAGAGCTGGGGTACAGGCCAGAAGTGTTTGGGGGGGGCGGTGAGAGGATTCACCAGAGACAGAGCGGAAAGCAAAACAGGCAGATCTACTGAAATAAACTGCTGAGGAGAACAGTGGGCGAGACAGGAGAGGTCTGCTGAGCCATGTGGGTCAACTTCCAGGTAGGCCGGGGAATCAAACTTGTGCTGCAGTGGCTGGCGATAGCTTGATGGCGCTGTCTTTAACTCCTGCGCCACCAGGTAGGCCCCTATTTGCTCATTCTTAACTAGCTACCTATTAACATTCCAAAATGTTTCCACAGATCTCTTCCCTGAGGCTTTTCCACCCTTATTTGTTCATGTAAATCAAATGCAGATACTTGCTTACATTTATCACTATTAAATGCCATCAATTCTTCCTGTTACTACAGGAAGTTACTACAAAATTACAATAACCAACAGAGTGTGGTACTGGTATAAACACAGACATATAAACTAATGGACTAGAATAAGAAGCCCAGAAATAAATCCTACCCTCTATGGTTAGCTGATTTTTTGATAAAGGTGCCAATACTACCCAGCGGGGAGAGCAGACTTTTCAACAAATGGTGCTAGGAAAACTCAATAGCCACATGCAAAAGAGAATGAAGCTGTAACCTTACAGCATATACAAAAGCTAACTCAAGATCAAACACCTAAATACAAGACCTAAAATTGCAAGATTTTAGAAGATGTTGGATCTGGCAATGATCTTGGCTACGATACCAAAAGTACTAAATATAAAAAACAGATAAACTGGACTTCATCAAAACGAAAACCTTTTGTAGATGAAAGGGTACAATCAATAGAGTGCAATGACAACTCACAGAATGAAAGAACCAAATGCAAATACATTTGCAACCATGTATCTGATAAGGAATTCAAATCCATAACCATACAGAACAACAAAAATCTGATTAAAAACAGATTTACATAGACATTTCTCAGGAAATATTTAGACATTTCTTCAAAGAAGATATACAGACGGTCAATAAGCACATGAAAAGATTTTCAATAAGCACCGATTTCACTGGTAATTAGGGAAATGCAAATCAAACCCACAATGAGATACCACTTCACTCACACCCATTTGGATGGCTACTATCATAAGAGAAAATATCTTGACAAGGATACAGAAAACCTGGGTCCCTTGTGTACTGTTGGTAGGAATGTAATGGTGGGGCAATATGGAAAAGAGAATTA